CACATAATATACATGCACAAATACATGCATATGAAACAACAACAAATCACTACAGCTTTGTCAAGGGCTGGTTTGTTGGCTGGGCGACTAGTTGCGGACTGCATTGGTGTTGCTTGGCGTGAATGACGAGTTGGCATCCGTTATAGGATTACACTTCCGGCGTTGTTATTTACACAAAATTGTGCTCGTTTCATTCAGAATGAAGGTGGACAGCTGACAGGTAAATATGTAAGCTTACATGCATACATACTCGTAAATATACAGGTTGATAACTTAATACACTGGCTATAGCAGGTTTAAGCTAATTTATACAGGCTTGTATGTATTTGTGTGCATTGAAACTCAAATACGCCTGTTATAACACTCTTTGATGCATGTGTACAAATGTATATAAGTAAATACAATTTTGTGACACTGATTTCCTTTTATTATCAGTGAATATCAAATAAGCAAAACTAGCCATCAAACACAGTGGATAGAGTTTTGTAAATAAAAAAATATATATAAACCAGTATTTATGTAGGAATATCTGTTGCTATACCGTATATAAAATATGTATATATATACAGAATAAAAATTATGAATATTATGTGTATATTACTTAAATCTTCGGAAACTTGGTGATTTAACTTTCATATAGTTATTTTCAAAGCAGTACGACTCTTTTGAAAGAATTCATAGCTTTCAAAGACATTTTATTTGACTTTACATAAGACTTGCCAAAAAGAGTCTGAACCTCTGTTGACCGCCTGCAATAAACTTTTTGTACTCTTTATCGATTTCTGACTGGTTCTGAAATTATAATATTATCGAACACATTTATCTTGCCTCATATTTGTACATGCAACATTCTTCTATCTGCGTCTGTTTTCCATTTTTGTGTGGATTTCGCTTACACTGAGGCAGATGTGCTTATAAGCTTAGCGATATTAAAGTTTGCATATGTACGTGTGTATGCAAATAAATTTAAAAACATATGCATGTAGCAGCAATTACTTTATATGAAAATGTGTACTTTCACATTGTCTTCTATACTTATTTGCACTTTGACACCAATGCCACATATCGTTTGCGAAATTGCACCACAACGCGTTAGCACACTGCTTTTTATACTCTTGCAACATGTTGCTACAAGGTATAATAGTTTTGTTCACCTATCGGTTGTTTGTATTAACTAACAAAAAACTAATCGAGTTAGATATAGAGTTATGTATATATAAATGATCAGGATGACGAGACGAGTTGTAATCCGAGTGACTGTCTGCCCGTCCGTTCGTCCGTCGGTCCGTCTATCTCTGCAAGCTATAAATGGAATAAAACTTAAGATATCTTGATGAAACTTAATTTGGTGCAACGAATCGCATTAATGAGAGGCATCTCTGAGCTAGAACTCTTTAAAAAGTGGGCGCAGCTCAGCCCCTTAATTAGTTTAATCTATATATCTCCCAAATCATTTAAGCTTTATCACCTAAATTTGCATGGAACAAATCCCTTGGACCTCTTACAACAACTACATGCTATAGTATTCAAATCTGAACAATTCACAAAATCATTGACACCATAAAATGTATCATGTGGTCATTGACCCCAAATGTAAACAAAGGTTGTTGACTTGGCTGAATGTAAACAAAGGTTATGGACTGGGGTAAATGTAACCAAGGGGTAATTGACCCCATAAGATGTAAACAAAGGGATCATTGACCTCATAAAATGTATACAAAAGGGTCATTGACTTCATAAAATGTAATTAAAGGGGTCATTGACCTCATAATATGTACACTAAGAGGTCATTGACCTTGTCAAAATGTAAACAAAAGGGTCAATAACCCCCAATGTTAACAAAGGTTGTGGACTTGGCTAAATGTAAACAAAAGGGTCATAAAATGTAAACAAAGGGGTCATTGATCCCATACAATATAATTGACCCATTAAAGTGTAACCAAAGTTGCACACGTTTTTTTTCTGTCTTTATATGTACTTATTTATGTGACAAAATGTCTTCACGAAATTTGGCATGGATTATAGTCCAAGGCAACACGAAAATCTTTGAAAATATTGTTCAGATTGTACCACTGTAGCATATAGGTGCCATATAAACTGATCGATCTATGTCAAGTTAAAGATCTTTTTATACGCTTTTATGCTATAAAAAATGTCTTTATGAAGGGTATTAAAGTTTCGGTGCAACTGAAGTTAACTTTTTTTCTAGTATATATATTTTCATACACCTAAAGGTATTTCCCCTGCTTTGAGCCTTGCAAGTTGCAAGAGTATAAAATGTTCGGTTACACCCGAACTAAGCTCTTCCTTACTTATTGTTATTGTTTTTATTTATATTATATTTTTTGGTGCTGAGTGTATTCCATTTCCTCTCCATCGTTTATAAGTGTTTGTTGGCAACTCAATTTTCGTTACGCCATAAGCCCTGAGATCCGGTCTCACGAATTTACATACCAATTTTCGTTTTTACTTTGTGCTTGTGGTTTTTATTTGATAACAAAATACCGAAACGAAAATGTATGTGAGCATGTTGTAAGTAGTGCATTATTCCAGATTTTAGCTGCTTGATTTACTTTTATTAAACTTTTAAACAGCAGCTGCATTTATGTAGTTTATGGGAAGAATCGCGCGGCGTTTGTATTTTCTTTTGTATTCTACATAGCAAAATCTCTTTGAGCGCAAAATCGAATCGACAAAATAAAGTTAAATAATAAACCGAAAAATCTGTAGGCAACATAAGTATTTTAAATCGTTTTTATAATAAATCTACAAAATCAGTAAGGGTATGAGTAACATTTTTGTTATTTTCATTTGATAAAATAAAAAAATTAAAGGAAAAATAATTTACTTATCTGAGCTCGGGAAGAGCAAGAGGAGGGGAGGATTGGTTAAATTTTTAAGTGTTTATGAAAAGATCTACAAATTTTTATTACACCTTATTCATGCTCGTATCACCTCAAAATTTATGTGAAATATTCAAATAATCGAGTTTTCATGTTTTTATTTCCATTATTTTTATCTCTTATAAATTTGTTTTTCTTCACGAAATTTGGTATACACTAACCTTTTTATGTTCCAAACCCACAATAATTGTTTTTTTTTACATAAAATATTTATTGTTTCCCCCTTTTTAGAACTTATATCGAAAAAGAACGCTAATTATCAATCCAAAAATCTCGAGTCAAAATCTCTGATTTTTTAAGAGTCGGTAGGCTTTTTCTTCGTTGAAATCTCTACTTTCTGATTATATAAAAAAATAGGTATATACATATCTATGTACATAACTATGGTAAGTTCTCTCAGAAAATGTAAAAAAGGCCCCACAAAACGATTCAAACGTATCAACAGGTAGATTAAATAAACAATAAAAAATGTATGCTGCACTTTTAAAGTTTCAATATATTTACTTTTTATTATACTCGTTTTACTTAATAAATACTAAACTTACAATAATATTTTTGTTTGTAAATGAAACTGTTTTTCTCTTCTAATTCGAATATATCAGTTAAATGTACGTACAGACTTTAAATAGCATTTGCACTGTAATCTTACATACAAGAGAGTAAGATAAGTAAAACTGTAAATATATACGCACTATAAATGTGTTGCTGTTTAAAATTTAACATAATAAATAATTGTAGTACTTTCCATATACATACTTATATCTTATAGAAATATGAATATTTTATTCACATACATATGTATATATGTACATACATAATATATGTAATTCTGTACAGTTATAAACATATATTGATGATAAACCATTTTCAATGAGTTGAATGAAACACTACAACTGACAATGATCTTGCTTTTGTTACAAAGTTGCTGCAAGATCACTTATTTTAAGAATACAATTTCGTAGTTTTATATAGATTTAGTCACTAGTGTATTTACAATGTATTAGCTAAGTGCCCTATGAGCAAATATAAATACGAGCTAAGTAATATATTTTAGCTGTGATATATTTTTAAATTTTAAAAATATTTAGTGCAAATAATTTTTTTTTTAATTTTTTATTGCAATTTCGTAAATCATAAATTTTTAAATTTTAAAAATATTATTAATCATTAATAAATATTTTTCCTTTTTTAAATTCAAAGCCATAAATACATTATATTTGTATGTAAATCAAACTCAAAGTACTAAACATTTTGAAATCAGAGTAAGGTATTTGGTTTCAATAAGTTGCATCTCTAAGCCTTACAGAGCTTTTTACAGAAATCTGCAGTTCTTATATGAAAGTTGTTTTTATTCAAATGTATGAAAACAAACTGTATTAATCGATAAATCGATAATTGCATTATTTACTCAATTTGATATGATTAAACATTATTATTTTTTATTTAGATATTTAAATTGTACACACATTAATTGCACGAAAATAACCAACGATAAGTTGTGCTTCAATACACACAGATTATATAACAGTGCATTGAAAAAATTATTAGTTAACATATATTAATCAATTATTATTATTAGTTTCAATTAAAGTTATGGAAATAAACACTGGCATCAAGTAAAAATAATTTACTATTTCTATATTCCGCAGTTTGTTTTATATTTGGTAAATAAAATTTAAAAAACATATGTTATCTAATAAACAAAATTAATAAAAATAACAACAAAAATTTAAAAAAAACTTTTTAATTTTTAAATAATAAAAAAAAAAATTTTAAAAAAAATACAAATAATAAAAATAAATTTAAAATAAATAAAAATTAATTTAAAAAAATAAAAAGAAATTTAAAAAAAATAAAAATAAATTTAAAAAAAAAACAAAAATAAATTTAAAAATAATAAAAAAGATATATAAAATATAATAAAAAAAAAAATTTTAATTTTTAAATAATAAAAAAAATATATAATAAATAAAAAAATAATAATAAAAAAGTAAAAGTAAACAAAAAATAAGTACAAAAAACCAAAAACCAAAAAAAAAATTATAAATCAAAATAATTAAAAACACTAAAATTAAAAAACAAAAAACAGAACTTAAGAATAATTAAAACATTGGAAGATACTTCTAGTGAATATTTAATAAAAATTCGTCTCACTCTAACATACAATTTTTTGAATTCGCTTAACATAGCTGAAGCTATTTCATCGACTACAAATATAATAACAATAGTAGGTGGAATTTTTATTCGAAAATTTTTTTTATTGGTTCACATAACTGCCAGAGCAGGCCCGTTTAGTTATTACTTTTATTAATTTTTCAATAAATAATTTTTAATAATGTTTTTCTCATATTATATATATAATATTTTAATATATATTATATACATATACGTATTTCAAAGCATTTTTAGCTCATTTGCTTAACTCTTTTGGCTTCTTTCTTAGTTTTAGAAATTTTCGTTTGATATAATTTTAATATAAAATTTTTCTTCAATTAAAATTATTTTTTATTTATTATACTTATTTTATTTTATTTAATTATACTTTAATTTTTACTTACTCTATTAAAAATGTGTAAATAAATTCTTTTTATATTTATTTGCACTTAATATAATTTATTTAATTTTTTTGTTTTAATTTTGCTCATATTTAAATTTCTAAGTATGCACTATTTGGGATTAAAAATCGCACAACTCACTGTCAATTAAAGGACCTACATATGTATATATATATAAGTACTTGTAATATGCTTGTAACTAATTTATTAGATTATTTAATTATTAATTTTAGATTTTAAAAAATATATTTGCATTGGAAAGTTGTAGCAAATAACTCTTAAACTTTTGCCATGAATTAATAATAATAACATACCTTATTTTCCGTTTATTACTATTTATTTATTTATATTTTATTTTTAAAGGTATGAAAATATTCTACAATAACTTAAAACTACATTACTTATTTTAATGCGTAAAATTTTGACTACATATATTTTTATTACACCATAATATTTACAATATTTTTGTCAAATAAGTTCACTATAAATAATAAATGTCTGAATCCGTAATTTGCAAAAATATTTTTTTGCCGACTTTACATTAATAAAGTGCGAAGTCTCAACAATAATTTCACGAAAAAACATCAGTTTGAATATTTTTTTACTGCACAATTAAAAAAATGTATGTGATATATTTTTGTACAAAGAGGGTGATCCTCCACCATTTATGCTTGTATTTACAAATGTATGTAAGTATGTGATTTTTTTATACTAAAGATTGAAAAACAAAAATATTTGCAACTTGAAAACAGACGTACAATCTGTATTTACAAAATCTTACGGTCATTTCTAAATTTTTTAAGTCCTCGTGTTCTTATACATATTATGGATGATTTTTAAATCAGCTGGCAATCGAAGCTACGGTCATTTCAATTCATCAGCTTATCACTCACACTGTGCTCAATTACCACCGACGTCACTTTCAGTTCAGATAAACTTCTTCCACTTGCTCGCCATCACATTCCTGCTGATCCTGCACCTCCTGCAGCTGTTGCAAATGGTGCTCCTCTACTTCCTCTTCATCGTCATACTCGAGCAACTCTTCTTCGTGCGTCTGCTGCGATTGGCCATTGCCGCTGTGATGTTCTATGACAATCTGCTGATGTTGCTGCTGTTGATATTCATCTTGGTCTTGCAAGTCCAAAGGATCTAGCACCGTTGTTGTATTTTGCTGTTGTTGTTGCTGGTGCTGGTGTTGCTGCAACTGTCGATGTGTCAGCAGCTGATGATGTTGATGAGTTTGCTGCTGCTGTTCAATTAATTCGTGTTGTTGCTGCTGATGTTGTTGTTGCTGGTGTTGCTGATGATGATGATGCAATTCGCTGTGCGCCGTCGTCGTGAAAACAAGCGGCGGCGGCGAACTACTACTCACATGATGATGATGATGTTGCTGTTGTTGATGTTGATGTTCTACCGTTTCAGTGGCAATGCTGTGATTTCGTACAATATGACCGGCGGTTGATTTACCAGAACGCGTCAGTGTTACCGTCACCTCAGAGCCGAGGCCAGCAAATGACACGGGTGTGGCGGTGCTAACATTCGCATGCGTCGCTGCCGCCGCTCTGGCATGGAGGATTTTGCGCGTGGTGGTTGTGGTGGCAACACCACCGCTATTCGCAGTGGCGGTGCTAACCGTGTGCGCTTGCGTTTGCGTATTGGGCGATGTGGCTGCCGATGCACTGGGCGACACATAGTTGATAAGCAACACACGTTCACCGGTGGTTGTTTGTGCTGCATGGCCGCGCAGTATGCGCGTACGATGTGTGCCGCTGCCGGATGCGATCGGTTGGGCGCCAGTGGCAGCTGCGGCTATGGCGGCGAGGCCGCTTGAACCGCTGCTTTGCTGTTGATGGTGCTGCTGCTGTGCACGGCTGAGGCGTGTGGTGCTCACCACACTGCCGCTGATGGTGTTACTATTGTTGCCGGTGCTATTGCCGCTGCCGCCACCACTGCTCCCGCCTATCACGCCTATCCCGCCTCCTCCACTACCGCTGATCATATCGTTGGCTCATCATTACGTATTATTACCGCCTTTCAAAATGAAAACTTTCTTTACCAAAATGTTCTTATTGTTACCCTAGTTTGTTATTTTATTTAATTTTTTATTATTAATTGATGTTTTTTTGTTTGGTAGTTCATTGTTAGATGTGGTTGTATGCAAATATGTAATTTATTCGTTATATTGATTTTTTGTTGTTTTTTGTTTTGTTAAGTTTGGTGAGATACGAGGCAGCCACAGTAAAAAAGAAAGAGAAGATAAGAATAAAATGCAAAGTTAATGAGATTAATGTTATATTCGGATGAGTAGTACATATGCAATAATTAGTCACGAGTTTTGAATAATATTTCAGCATACAAATTCTTCATCAATGACGAGATAAATTACTTTTCGTATATGCTGATCAATATAGTTAACAGTTGATTAGTGACAAGATCAATGGAGAGTGAATGTGCTTGACCTGTGGTGTGCCTAAAGTTAAATAAACTGAACTTTTGTGGTTATCTAAATAACCTATATTATGTAATATTATTACAGGGTGTTTGTATAGTTTGCAATGTAAATTTTATGACCAAAACTGCTCGAAAATATGGCCGATAATCAATAATTTATATGAAAATAAAAGAATAATAATTTCACTCATTAAACTCAACGACCATACTTAAGTAAATAATAAATAAATGCAATAAAAAAAGTATGTTTAAGGTTATAATTACACAACGTAGAACATTAACATAATTTTGTTTGGAATCATGTACAGAAATAAGTAAAACCGAGTAAATTGGGAGTTGTTGCGACCTCAACAGCAGTTGAATGCACATTAATAAAAAATATTCAAATTAATAAAAAAAAAATCACATTAATAAAAACAATATCAAATTTATAAAAAACAAATTCAAATAAAAAAATTACTTTCAATATAAAAAAATATTCAAATAAAAATAAATATCAAATTATTAAAAAATAATAATTAAATCAATAAAAACAAATTCAAATTAATAAAAAAAAATCCGAATTAAAAAAGTTAATTTCAATGTAAAAAAAATATTCAAATTAATAAAAAAAAATCACATTAATAAAAGCAATATTAAATTAATAAAAAAAATTCAAATAAAAAAGTTAATTTCAATATCAAAAATATTCAAATTAAAATAATATCAAATTATTAAAAAAAAAATACATAAATCAATAAAAACAAATTCAAATTAATAAAAAAAATCCGAATTAAAAAAGTTAGTTTCAATACAAAATAAATATTCAAATTAATAAAAAAAAAAACAAATATCAAATTATTAAAAAAAAAACAAATGAAATCAATAAAACAGTAAAATTAAATGAAATAAATTAATAAAAAAGAAACATTTATGTTAATAAGAAATGCATCAAATGAATCAAAAAAATTAATGTTATAAAAAAAACTAATTAATTATTAAAAAAAAAAATAAAGTTAATAAGAAAAGCTTCAAATTAATAAAAAGATTAAATTAAAATTAACTCAAAATATTTAAATAATAAAAAATCAAATTAGTAAAATTAAAGTTAATCGCCTTCAGAATGGGTTTACGCACGTCGTTAAAATCAAACTGCGCGAGTCAAAATTGATCAGATGGCATTTGTAAAGACTACGCAATCATATATTATTTAGAATATATCGGCACTGCAACTCTTGTGCCTTGACCATATTTCCTAAAATATTTGTTTTCAGCTTATATAAATAAAATTTAGTGCAAGCTCCTCGCACTGCACAACCGTATACATATACACAAACATACAAAGATATTACATTTATTAATTATTAAAAAAAAAACACAAAAACTCATACATAGTCATTGCAGTTAAGCATGCGCGTAGTGCAAGTCATTATATACAACTATACAAAAAGACAGCATGCAATATTAAATACATAAATAGAGTTAAGAATATACAATTATGACGCAAAACACACACATATAATAGTATACTTATAGTAAGAAAAGTATATTAACGAAACCAACGCCGCTAAAAAGTATATTGTACACAAAAAACGGTAAATAAATACAGAACAAAGCATGGTATACACAAAAAACAAAATTACATACATACATACGAGTACAAAAAAAAAGCATAAAATTAAGCACAAATGTACAAAAAATACAAAAAATAAATAAAAACCAAAAATTAATAAAAACAAAAAATAAATTAAAACAAAAAATCAATAAAAACAAAAAATAAATTAAAACAGAAACAAAAATATACATACAAACAAAAAAAAAATAAATTAAATAAAAACAAACAAAAAAAATTAATTAAATAAAAACAAACAAAAAAAATTAATTAAATAAAAACAAAGCAAATGAGTAAAACGTAGTGGGGTTTGGCAGGGTTCATTGAAAAAATTAAATCCAAAAATTAGTATTTTTTGTTGGTTTTCAAAATTGGTTTTTTTTATTATTTTCAATTCATAATTCGTTAACCAAAACAAAGAAGTCAAATTAATAATTACAAGCTAATGACTAAATGAAATTATACGGATAAGTAAGAAAAATAGGTGTAGATAGTAACTGTAGTTTTCTTTTTTTTTTTTTTGCTGTGCAAAGTTTCTGCTTCTAGAAAGGGTTGTTGCAATTGCTTAGTATTAGCGCTTAAATAAAACATTGCAGAATTTACAAATTCCAAAGAAATTGCAATATGCGTATTTTTATTACAATTATTATTTTTTTTTTAGTTGGTTTTAAACATTTTGAATTAATAATTGTTTTTAATTTTGTTTGATTTGTTTCAAAAATTTTGAATTAATGATTGTTTTTTTTAGAAAATCTATATTTCAAATTTAAATTAGTTAGTTCTTTTAAAAAAATTTATTTATAATATAACAACTTTATTTTTAAGCATTACTAAGCAATTTAATTTTGTATAAATAAAATGAAGCCAAAGCAGTCAGAAACTAACCATTGAAAGCATAAACATTGCACAGCTATTAACGTAAATTGTAAATTTCTATATAATATTTTCTTGTATGTACTAAATTTTACAAAATAATATATAAATGTATTTTTTTTTTGTGTTTTTCAAAAAATTCTAACAGTGTTCTGTGTGCTAAACCATTTTTCATAATCATAAACAATATAATAATAATAAGTAATTTTTAAGTAAACAACTGTTATATGGTTGCAATAAATAAAAGTTAATATTAAAGTTATTTAAAATGTAAATATGTGGTAGGTAATAAGCGGAAATTTAAAGAAAATAAACGTTTTCTATTTAAATTTACACACTATTTTTGTGAAAAAAAAAAAAATTAAAGTAATAGTTTTCTTTTCGCTAAGTAGAAGGTTTTGAGTACCTGGTACCAACTTAATGCTACTTACAACCATTTCATTTTGTAAGATTTCTATATTACAAATACCAACTATGTATTATATGTTTAAATTTAAATGTTAAAGCAAACGAATTTTGTCAAAGCTAAGTTGTTCCATTTTAATATATATATATATATATATATATATAGGTATATATGTGTAAATATAGCATAAAATTACTTTTAAAAGTTATTTAATGCACGCAATAATATAATAGCACAGGAAATAAGGCAGCAAAATTTAGTGGAGTGCAATAACTTTGTATTTCTTCACTTTTCCTATTTTAAGTATTTTTGAAAGCAAAAATTGCTTATTTTTTACAAATATATATATGCGGAAGTTGCAACAGCTTGGGGTAGCACACGCGCGCACTCATTAAATATTTGCAGCTATTGTATAAATGTATTAGTTTATAATATTTAATGTTTTCTAGTTAATTTGCTAATATTCATGTTCATAATTCTTCATGTGTTGTTTTTGGCTTCGGGTGGGGGGTGTGGTTTGGTTTAAGTTTTGTATGTGTGTGTGTGTTTATATGCTTTCTGTCACTTTGTAGCGTAGTAATAATAAGTAAGCTGGACTTGACTGATTTGATTTCAGATATTTGACCCGGAATTTGTGCTTGCATATTGGTTTGAATTGTTTGCTGTATAAAATTTTTAATTTTTAATTTCTAAAAGCCCCGCTAGCAATAAATAACACTTCTTCACCAACTCATCCTGCTACTGCTTAACATCATCATCATCCATCATCCATCCATCTTACAACTGTGAATGAGTTTGAAATTCATTCATATTCACCTGATTAATATTGCCCAATATTTGATGGCCTTGCAGCGTTTGCACCTGCGCAATGGACAACGATGTTGTACCGTCTGTATTTTCTGTTTGTGTAACGATTTGTCCACCAGTTTGTTGTTGCTGCTGTTGACCGCCACCCGTTGTGGTGGCCGTTGTTATATTACCAGATTGATCGATGATTTGATGATGTTGTATTTGCTGTTGTGCCTGTTGTTGCTGTGTTGTGGCCTGTTGCACCTGTACTTGTTGCACTTGCTGTTGTTGTTGCTGCTGTTGTTGGCCACCACCAGCGCCGCTCGTGGTTGTCACTGTCATTGTTTGCTGTCCTTGATTCTGCGCATCCGGATCCTTTTTCACTTGTACCGTATGTAATGTGTGTAGCGATTGTACCGATTGCACCTGTGGTATGGTGCTGACTGCTGTCGTAATCGTCGATGTGCCTGCTGCATTACTAGTGCCAGCGCCTGTGCTTGTGGTTATAACTTTTTTGCCGGTTGGTGCTGGTTGTGGGAGGGGAAACAATTTTATGTATTAGTTGCTCTCAAGGAAATATAAAAGTGGGCGAAATTAAATGCGGCGTTACGGGGCGCATGGCGACAGAGATAGACAACGACGTGTGTATAAAAAGCACTTGTCTAACATTATAATTGCATACTTCCAATTTTGCAAATGCTATTGAAATTTATTGGCAGTTTTAAATTTTCCATGATATAATTCGCTAAGGTTTTAAGGTTTTTGCTCTTTTGATACAATGTGTACTATCAAATTGTTAAGAAGCAGCGATTTCTTTTTTTGTTCATTAAGATTAGCAACTGAGTTAAAACCGGCTTTAACAAAAACTCCTACTTTTACAATAAATACTAAATACTTTAACAAACAACTCAATTGTTTGAAAATAACCCTTTTGCTTATGAAATCTAAAGGTTACAATAGTTCTTTAAATGTTTTTTTTTTTAACTATGCAAATACAAGTATTTTCTCTGTGTCAACAATAAAAAGTCCATAACGCACATTTCCTCGAGAGCAACGTTGTGTTCAACTGAAAAAATCTAACTACAGAATTAAATTAATATTAAATTAATAATAGAAAATAAACTCAAGGCGTGTGATATTTTTTTGTTAACAATTATTTCCACTTTATTTAGCTCATAACTCTATGTATGTATGTATAAATATTTTGGAAAAATCGCCTTTTGTATTTAATATTTAAAAAAATATAAAGCAAATCCTTACATATATATTAAAAATTAACATCAAATAATATATTGTCGTTCAAATAAATTCTAGTTTGTGTTTATACAAAAAAAAATTGTTAAGGAAACAGAGCGTTAGATTGAACTTTTTATTGCTATTTTTGTTTCATGTTAGAAAATACTGCATATTAACGTAGAGTATATTTTTTATATGAAACAAAATATATTTGCGCAAAGCGTTTATGCTTAATGATACTGCCGCTTTATGACTAACTTTGTAACTTGAGTTATTGTTGTGTTGTATATTACACTGCAATGATAAAAATATACGTTTGTACAATGTCATTTGTTAACTTGATAAAAAGCCTTGAAAAGCGTGGGGAATGCATAATTAAACGTCAACCATTATTATTTTTTTTTACAAATCATACGTACATTCGAAACGATCTAAATTATCAAAAAAAAAAAAAATTTAAACAGCTTAATACCTATTTACTGCTAAATATTTATCATTAATTTGTGTGTTTTACGAGCCGAACACCTCTTCGCTGACAAAATGTATGACATTTTGTAAGGACGTGCCACTGCTGCTCGTAGCGGCATTCGGTTGCTCCTGCTTTAGCGTGGTCATGTGCGTGACAGTCGCACCGCCCGCACTACCGCCATGCGTTACAATTATGGGTGCATTCGACGACGTGGCAGCAACTGTAGTGACATTGCCAGCAACGGTTTGATAACTATCGCCCGCTGTCGCTGTTATGTCACTCACATTTGACGCTATAACGCTGTCTGTCTCTGCCGTCGAATTTAATTCCGTGTCATTACCACCAGACTTACTTTTCTTTTCCTTCTTTACGCCGGGCTTAGCGAAATGCCGTAATTCCAAATGGCGACGCAAGTTACGTGACTGTCGGATGACTGCATAACATATGGGACAGGTTGCCGGTTGTTCCGATTGTGAGCGTGAACGAGATTCTGCAATGAGAGTAATGAAAAATTAGAACACCGTTACCACTATTAGCAAAAAAAAAAATATATAATGCCAGCAATATTAGTAACAAAAGTAAATTTCATTTTAAAGTTAACGGTAATTTAAAAAAAGAAGAAAAAAAGTTAGCCCTAATACTCTTCACAGCTAAAAAAAATCGATAGAAAAACTTTCAGTTCAAATAACGGCAATATGCTATAGTGATCGAAGATAGTAGCATTGTCCTGCTTAATCAGGGGTGTTGTGGACCCAAGACAGATTTGCGTAGTTGGCAGAATTGCAAACCAATTCTAATTCTCAATGGTGTCACAGAATCTGATTCAATTTTCGTCTTTTCGAACATATGCAAAACCAAAATTCGAATGTGCTGTTTACTATTGGGACAAAACTTGCAAATGAATAAATTTGAAAGCGTTTAATGAATTTGAAGTACCGAATACTTTACTCAAGTTTACTGTCAGCAACTACCCACTTGCTTTGTTTCTGATAACAAAACCGATATAATTGGTTTCCGTGACATCCATAACCAATACAATTTCTGTTTCCAACGTCAAACCAATAATATCAGAAGTCATAACATCGACTACATTTTTTATCGGTTTTAATTCTGATTCCGACAACTGTCAGATTCTACAACACCCCTAAATAATACATGACAAATTTCATGAAAATATCAAATTTCATGTCAAATAAAAAAAGCGCTTCGTAGTAAAATTGTATTTACTCACCACTCTTGGTGCGTTTAACAGTTTTCGTGCTACTTGCTGGAGTTGTACCACCGGCGCTGACCTCGCTAGTATTAACTGTGGATATCGGCGTTATATTCGGGTCCATGGTCACAATCGTCTCAACCTTGCTCACTTCACTCTTGATGTGTGGTGTCGAGGTTATTATTTGTGTCTCATTGCCATTTTCAATGCTTTGTTGTTGTGCCTGTAATTGTTGTTGTTGCTGTTGTTGTTGTTGCTGCTGTTGTTGTTGTTGTTGTTGTGTAGTTTGATGTACAACAGTAGTAGTGGTCGGTGCAGTAATAATCGTTTCCATACCCTCAACTTTAGCAACTTTTGGAGCGGACGCTGTAGAAATAGAAATGCAAAGAATTTTTGGAAATAAAGTATAAAGTGATTTCAAAGCTATGCTATTGAATAGATATCTATAGTAATACAGTATGTGACTTACGTGACATCTTCTTAACACGTGGCTTGCGTTTGCGTGCGGGCAAAAATTGTTGAATAACATCCTTGGGCGATTCAGCGGTCACAATGGTCTGTTGTTGTCCGGCGGCGTTAGTGTGGGTAGTCGTTTGTAAAATCTGACCAGCTTGGTGTATATCATCGACGACATGTGCATGTACGGTTTGTTGTGGTGCGGTAGCAATGGTGGCAATCAGTGGGTCTTGGTCCTAAAAATTGCAAAGATAAAAAAAACAAAGAGACATCAGCACACACACTTAGTTAGCACAGAAGGTTGTTACAAAAGCCATCAACCACTTACATGGTGTTGTTGTGGTATCATATGCTGTAGTTGTATTGAATGCGTGGTGTAGTCATCTTTCGTAACGGTTTGCGGAGCCAGGCCTTGTATATTCAAACACTGTGCGGCCTGCAACAGCGACGGCAGTTGTGCGTGATCGACACTTACTTCGCCGCGATAAACAAACTCCAACAATGCTTCCAGGTCGTTGGCATTGACGCCGGCCAACATCACCACCGGATGCTTGCATGGTGTATTCTAAAAAAAAAAAAAAGGAGAAGCAAAATATAATAGCATTTAGTGTTGATAAAAGCGGGTTATGAAATGAAGGTGTGTTTGTTGGCGGCACAGCTGAGTTGATTTACATAAAAACGTAAACAGAGAAATTACCAGGCATGTTGGCTAAATGACCGGCACCGCGTCTCATCTGTAGGTTGTCTATTTCAGCTCACCGTGTTGCAGTGTCTCATATCTACACCGCCCGCGCTCCCTCGTTCTACTCATGCTCTTTATGCTCTTTCACGCGCTAACAAACGCGCTTACATGTGTACAACACACGAAACTCGTTTATGTGCCCTCTGGCGGTCGTCAAAGACTTTCCCATTTAATCTTTATTTACTCAAAAGTATCTTTTTAGATGCCAGCATTACACCTTCTCACCGACGCTTCAAGAATGCTTGCCTGCTGCTATTTCGCAGCTCCTGCTCTACTCGGGTACACTCACAAGTGCGTCTACAGTAACTGTCATCATGAATCGCTCAACAAAAAGGTTTAAATTTTTACAATGGAACGCAGAGCGTAAAGTCATTTTAGGGAGAAATTCATCGAATTAGCGAACGCGTTGCTGAGTGCAATGTTTGAAAATCCGGTGAAATCAACGAGTTTATTCGTCAAATTGTTAGTTGACTTTTATTGTTATTGTAAATTTGTGCTTCATAGCTATTTTCTCATATGCAGCACAAAAAGAGGCTCTTGAATTTGTTTCTTTGGAAAGCTGGTTAAAGCAATAATCCAATCTGTGTTTATAGGAATCAAATTGCAGATGAAGCATAGAATAGAAGCAGCATGTTATGCGTGTAGAAATTGAAGTTGAGTTCAAATTATTAAAATTCCGAATCAAAAGTATACATATTTTTTATATCGCGGATAATAGGAAAAGCGCTTATTAACTGCAAACGTTGGGAGACTTTTTAATCAACACTAAGCTAGAACGTATCTAAATCGATCACCAACAAACGGTTTGTTTACATTTGCTCACCTCACTATTATCACATGTTGCCCCCACTGAGTGTGTATTGAATTGATAAATTTCTCTCATCAACTCTTTGCTGATTATACCAGCAATTTTCGGTTATCAAAGTACTGAATTTTATCTATTTAACCAAACACAGAATCTTCAGCTCTGCCGCCAATCTCTGAGCGTAGCAGCGCACTCTATTTTAAAACTCACAATTCAAAACGAATAGTTTGAGTTGTTTGGTCAATATTTATATCGACCTGACCCGATAATAAACATACCCATGCGACGCGTGGAGAAAGTAGAGCGCATTATTAGTACTACTCATATGACTACTAACCACATTTTTTCTTATTATTCTCAGAGCGCACTTAGAATGGGAGGACTTTTGTGATGAGGGTTGCAAGACTCATACGGAGGTGGAAATATGTAGAGATACCCACACACATATACATACTTTGTTTTGATGCTGTTTATCGCTCACCCTACCAACACCTTTATTGTCTATTGGAGCATATTTTAATACTCAGCAATACGGTGAGTACAAATTAACTAAAGTGACAGAGCGCAACGAAGTCACTGCACGCAGGAAGTCACTTGTTTTATCCGCGACATCACAGTGAGTTCTTATTGAACGTTTTGTTTCGACAAGTGGCTGTCATTGCCGGTCTCTAAATGTTATACCTGTCTGCCTCAGAACTCTTTCGATTTCTTATGCTCTACTCCTACATCGGCGGCGGAGAACAAATCTAAGTGAGAGTTAGAAATTGTTGCATATTGTTCTAACGTATAAAAGTGGATGCTCGTTGTTTTAAATCTGTGAAAGTTGTATGTAAATACTATATATAGACCATTGTTTTTTTTTTGTCTTTGACGATAAACAGCTGATTGTTTTTAATATACACTTAATGCACAGCGCTTGCAACTTGGTCTTTAAAAAAAAGGAAAATAAGATAGAAAAAATACAACACTTAGTCCAACTAATTATCATATCCGATAATTATCCGATTATAATCAGTGTTCTTCTAGGCATAAAATACTCGTACGAAGAATATAAGGATTTTTTTTAGCAAACTATTATACCTTAAATGTTCGTTATAGCCTATTAACCCCCAACATTTTTTAGCTTTAAGAAAAAATTTTAAACGATTTTTTAAGCGTTTGTAAGATTAGCAAGAAAAAACGGTAACTTCGTTTGCACCGAAGCTATAATACACTTCACAAGTACAAAAGATTTTATACAAAACTTGATTCCGAACGTTCAGTTTATATGGTAGCTATATGCTATAGTGATCCGATCTGAACAATTTCTTCGGAGATTGCATTATCGTTCTAGGTCATAAACTCATGCTAAATTTCGTGAAGATATCTCATCAAATAAAAAAGTTTTTCGTGCAAACATTTGATTCCAGTAGCTTCTTGGAGAAAAGAAATTGTGCAAAATTTCAGATCGACATCTCAAAAACTGGGGAATGAGTTCGCGTAGATACAGACAGACGGACGGACAGACATACATGGCTAAATCGACTCAACTCATCATGCTGATCATTTGCAAACATATTTTAGGGAATGTCCGACTTTTCCTTCTGAGTGTTACAAACTTCGTGGCAAACTTAATATACCCTATTTAGGGTATACAAAGATTGTCGGTATTTTTTGAGTCGATTATTGACTTTGGACATTTAGGCACAAAAAGGATAGTAATATGACTAGACCACATGTATATTATGTTGATTAACAGAAAAAAAAAATAACTAAAAATGTCTTTGAAGCGGGGAAAGTCGCTTAACACAAGATATTCGTACAAATTTAAGCTATATGTATCTAAATATCTGCCTGAATATCTTGCCATACAAGTAGATATGAGGAGTACGTTGAAAGGGGAAATCACCCAAAACACAAGCATTTGGACCATGCAATACGAATATATGAATATACTCAAATGTTTTTGCAATGGAAATTTAACGAGTCACCCGAGCGAAGCGAAGCACAATGACATGACGCGGCGCAACACACAAAGCCGAAGCAAACATAGCTGAACAATAAACGCAGCATGCGCAGTGCAGAGTACCATGCCCCTGACGGCACTCCGCTCTTCCACAAGAGTTATTAAATACTAGAACTACTTGTGTGAAGGTTTTTGTGCTCTTGTGTATGTGCGACATACTCTTTCGTGCACTCACTCTGACGCTTATGTTCAGTGCTAGCAAATTGCGGTCGCTCACCGCTCTCACTCACTCACAAAAGTAGTCGATATTCATATATATATAATATATACAGGTAGCGAAAGAGGAGCAGTGTGTGACCATTTCGATTGCGTGACTTTTACGACTTTGGCCGCAATACACAGCGAAACGAAGTAACGTTGAGATACTTAAGTATATATAATATATGTTGCATATATCGTACACAGATACGTTTTTATATTTAGAAATTAAAAATATATTGTATATGAAACCAGTCTATATAATACATAATTATTTTGTGGAAATTTATTTCAAATATATAATTTAATTTTGATTGTTCAGTGTGGGCGCGTTGTGCCCGTGCGCTAATTTTATTTCACTTTACATTAGCCGGCATAACTCGTTTGTGTACCGCTCTGAACCGAGTTCGCTGTCAACCGAAATTCGAGACAATCAAATTAATTGGATGCGAGAATATAAAATACGAATCTCGTTGAACTTGTTCAAGAGGCAACGATGATGGTGTAATATATATGACACAGTGCATACGACACTTTCAGAGGGAGATATTTCCTCACTTGCCTCAATTACTAATACAAATCTTTAAAGGAAATCTCTAAAAATCTGCGTGGTAGAAAATTAAAGTGCTGCTCCGCTACTCATCTCCAACACCGTAGTGGATGTTTGACACTCTACTCTGCCTGCCTCTTGCGCCACCATACAATTTACGTGCACTCTTCAAAGCTATTACATACATACAATTATAATCAGTTCGGTGGCCGAATCTTTTATACTAGACGTGCCTACTTGCATTTGTACCTATAGAGATATGCTCAGCGTCGGTTATATTAACTACTTTTGGAAAGACATTGACTGGCAAATTCCTCTGCAGAAAAATATTTGTAAAATACACTCCATACTTTTCTCTATGTTCAAAGCATTGAGATTCATACTAGATTTTAAAGCAATACAGTCCTCTTTGCCGGCTTAACACAAACAAGGCCAGAGGCCATGCCACCAGCCCTGATGGACAGAAAGTCTCTGGAGCGGTAAAATCTAGCAGCATATAGAAGAGCGGAGCGCAAATTGCAAGTGATGTGTGCGGGTGAGTGTGGTGCACCACAACTATTTACGTATGAGTTCAATTTTGTGAGTTTAGTTGAGCATACAGAGAGATTCTTTGGACGCATCATATTGAGACTGAGGCCTAAAATGTATGCCAATCGTCAGATTTAAAAGACATCCACCTAGAATTAACCCATCTGAAAAATTATCTCTGTTTACAAACAAACTGTTATTAATTCATTGCTCTTTTTGTTTACTTTTCTATTTGGTTCGGGGGTACTTGCGCGAGTGGCTACATTTTTAGACAGGTGTAAACTTATTTGTTTTTTAAATAATAAAAATTAATTGCTAGAAACATCAGTTATTTTATATTACATAATTTCGAAAAGATAAGTATTACATTTTTAGCCAGTAATAAAAAAAATATATTGAACACTTATGTATGTATATATATATTTTTACGTAAATATTTTTATATGTATGTATGATGAATCAAAATATATTTTTTATAAACAACTTACCTTTAACAGCTCCAATAAAAACGGTGACGCTGCACATAATACGATTTTATGCGCTGGAAAACTGCGCCCGCCAGCAGCTAAAGTGCAGTCCACCAAATCGTTGTGACAACGCAAAAGTTGAATGGCCGTCACCAGTGACGAGCCATAGTCGCCCCACGTAAGGGAGTAAAGTGAGTTCATTGGCAATGCCATCATCGAGCCAACGTTACAACGGCGTTAAACGTCGTTGTCGCTGGGCACTTTGTCAATAAAAAAAATAAAACAAACGTAAGAAAATTACGATACGTGGTCTACCTCCGCTGGTAGCACTCTAGACTTCCACAATATGTTTGTATCTTAAACTGCAATAAAAGTAGAAATAAACAATTATAAAATTTTTAAATATTTGCGCATACATATATACGACTATATAATGTTCCCTAATTATCCATACAGTAAACCTAACAATGCCCCACTAATTATAGGCTTAACATTTGACTAACCCGCATAAAATTTTCAAACATTTTTTCTCTATTGACACCGAGCTTATGTTGTGTATTTATTTTAATTTTTTTTCTCATAGACGTTGTTGTATTTATGGCATAAACCTGAAATCACCAAGTGAAATTTCAAAAGGCCTTAATTTTACCTCCGCCGTCGTCACTTGCTTCTCCTTACACAAATAACGTCGACAATGCGCAGCTCGTCGGCGCGAGTACATCCACATGTCTCACTCGCTCTTATGCGCTCTGCCACACTCGCTATTGAAATGTTGGTAGGGGAAATTTGGACTTGAATTACACAAGTAGACGGCGAAATCGTTGCCAACGATTCTCTCACACCCTCCCTGTCGCTCTTATTTAAAAAAGACTGTTTAAGAAGTGACTACGAGACGACGAACGATCTGCCGAAAGACTTGCATAGCTACCCCTCCGTCGTCGCTGCCCTGAATGTTTTGCTACTGCGCAATGCTCATTGCGAAGCACCACCATGCCAACATTTCAAACGTGTGGAAAAATTCATTCGCTCCGACTCATAAAAAACCAACAATCGCGCTGAGCTGAACGACACACACACACATATACTCAAACGACGTTTGCCAACGTAATCAGGAGTGGAAATGTTAAACGTATGCTCCCCTCATCTAAATTGTTGATTCAGCTTGTTATGTGAACGGATGTGTGTGTGCTCCCAAATGGGTAAAACCGATATCGATATCTTGCCTGAAAATCATTTGTAACTTCTCAAATTTATTCAAATAAATGTCGTTTTTTTATTTAAAAAAAATATTCCAAATTTCAATTTTCAAAACTCGAAGCAAGCCTACACAGTGGTGAGTAAGTATGTGTGTTTTTGTACGTATATCCTGCCCTTTGCTATTGACGCAAAGCTTTGGGAGGTTTGGAGCCAAAAGCACTCACACTTGGTAGCCACAATAGCCACACGAACAACACTGCACAAGCCATCGGTTAACAAATATTTTTCTCTGTATCATTTTTCTGAATACTCATACGGTCAAAGCCACAAGCTGTACAGTTTGCACTAGCGCCACGACACGAAATTAAAAATTTTCTCTAATAATGCGGAATTTTTGTTTTATTTTACTTAAAACTAATGTACAACCACTTCTCTCCTTTGTTTTCTTATAATTTCCAAAAACGTATCTTATTGAATTACTTTATTTTATATAGCGTTTTGAAATTCTACGTAAAGGCTTCATCTTACAAATTAAGAAGTACATATTCCATTTTTCCTGAATTTTTCATCACGTTTTAATACACTCACTTGATAAATAATAGCACCAAACCAAAAAAAAAAAGGAAACACTTGCGGATTATATCTCTGTTTTTAAAGTTTCCCGCTTTACAAAATCTATGAAAGAATCTTCTGAATTTATTTTTGTTCTCAGAGTGGGCACTAAAATGGATGAAAAATCTCACAGAGCAGTCAGCCAGCCAAAAAAAACTCTGCTTTTGCTGCTTCTGCTACTGCTTTCACTAAATTTGTTACTCACGACTTCTCGCCAACGTAGAAAATTTCCAACTAAAAATTTGAGTTCGATATTTCGTTGGCTACACTCGCTCGCTCCTCGATGCTCGGCGCTCGCCTGATGTCGCTCGGCGTTCATGACAAAGTCAACGAAGACGACGAACTTCCCCACCGCTGTCGTTGCGCCGTCGCAGGCAGTCGGCTATTGACGTTGACAGCGTCGGGTATGATTACCAACACTCCATTATAATAGAGTAGCGGATTTTATTCGCTACGAACGTAAACCTTCTTGAGCTACATTTTTTGATTAGGGAATGAAGAAACTGAGAAATGTACGCTTTGCTTGCTTTCTTTTTATAAAGACACAACAGTCATGCGTTTTTAATTTTAAATATATCAGTTGGATTTGAAGCACTTCTACATATATTGAAAGGTTTCGTAGATTTTTCGTGTTTTTGATACATGGTGACCCTAAAGACAAATCGCTATCTTGGCCGGTTTAACAATACACGTTTTTGTCTCTATACGGGGAAAATTACTCGTACGTTGCTGTGCCAGCGCAGCTTGTTGTTTTTGCATAAATAGTGAGTATGCGGTTTGTAAATAGAGCAAGATGGCCGCTCTTCTCAAAGTACAGTTTTCTGTAATAAAGTGAGAGCGTTACCAGATAGATATATAGATACTTTAAAGAGGAGAAAAACAAATAATTCCAATTAGAATTTGATAGTTAATCAAGATTTTCATTGAATAAATAGAAAGGAGTTGTATAAAAACAGCAATCTTCGATTAGAGATCACTATGCTCACAGGCTCATGTATTTACATTTACACATACATATGTACATATGAGTATAGAAATGTAATTTTATATAAAAGAGCAGGTTCTGCGAAAGTTCGTTATCGATGTGCACTTGAACCTTTTTAAGTAGAATTTTCCTTCTCATTATCACATAGTATGTACTTACATCCATACAGAAAGTTTCAAGCACGTTATATTATATAACAAGAGCGCACGGGCGCTGAGGTTCTAAGCCACCGGTAACCCAACAACTTTATCAGCAACGGAATGAAACTGAATAGGACTCCAAAAACGGTTTTAATAAAATACTATACTATCGTAATAACGGTAACTTTAGTAAATATAAAAGTTCATATATGTATGTAAATATGTACATAAAAAGTATTCATTGAAAATATATTGCTATTAAATGGATGGCAGCACCAAGACTCCACTGCTAGTCGCCAACTTCCACCAGTCGGACAAACAACAACAAAAATATTCGAGTACTATGAACAACCGGGTATACCCACAAATATATATACTTAAACATATCTTACGATTATGTACATACAAACACACATATGTACGTATGTATGTAGATTTGTATGTGAAACCCGGTGATTGTCGTTTGCCGCTACTAAATGCCAACACTGCTGAGGCTAGCTAATCCCACCAGCAACAACGTGAAGAGGGTAACAAATATCAACCATAACAAGTTGGGGTCTGCTCCAACAAGCTCACCGATTTCTTTTTACAATCGGCGAAACACGTACGCCGAAATCAAATGTTCTGTCTCATTCTCATGTGCGCTCGTGTGCCTCATATTGATAGGCAGTGTGGTGGGGTTATGGGGAGCAGGCGCAACTATACATTCATACATATGCAGGCATAGATCGAATTCATTATACACAGCGGTTATTGCGAGTGGCGAGTTCAGTTGAAATGTGGCCTCGAGCGTATATAAAATACAAATGCATACTTATAGTACATTTATATATGTATATATATGTGTGTGTATGTGTATTGATAAATGGCTGAGGGAATGTAGCGCCGTTGGAGACGAAATTTATACACAAGTTGCTTTTGAACATGCGAAAAGCTAATGGGAGAGTGAACGAACGAATATCCATTCGGTGGGTATGAACGAGAAATGTGGGTATGTTTGTTTGTGTGTATATTTTTACACATGCATGTAGATAAGAAATGAACATATTAAAATAGTGTGTGCTAAATGCTTCAAGTATTAATGTTAAGCGCATAAATTACCAACAATGTGGATTCGGCACACATGCGGCAATAGAAAAGCGAAAAAGGTGCCTAATGCAAAATAAAAGGTTTTCAAAGGAAAATATAATCATGAATAATTAAAGTATTTGTTTTTTTTTTCATTATGTACCTTTACACACATATGTACATATGTATGTATGTACTTAGTTCTATTGACAGCGCTGTATATAAGTATAAGTGCATAATTACAACACAAATGCATCAAGTAGTAGGCACTTAAAATTTTCCAAAATAAAAATCGCTTTGCGACTTTCAAGGCATTGACGCAAGCGAGCATGTAAGTATATTAACGGGCCCATTTCACTGGAGACGGTCTATTGCGGTTTCGCGGGGGTGTCGTTACTATGGCTGTGTGGCAAAATAAAGCACAATACAACAAATACACCATAATTTTCGGCATATTGCAAATGCTTGCAATAAATTTTTCAAAAGGAATTTTACAATTTTTGCACACAAGCTACTCGTTGTGAATTTTTTCCGCACAGTCAGGCAACAAACACCTGTTTCCCGCCTTAATTAAGCAGCATCAGACGTACGTTGCGTTTCGTTCATTTAAGATTTATATTAGCCGTGGCGTCGTGCGCTTTGAACCACTACTACTTTGGCACTCAGAAGCCAGAAAATTTCACGGTCCTCAACTGAAAGTGTTTTGTGTGTTTATGGACGACAGCGACAATGCCGAACTCGCACTTGTTGTTATGGGAGCAATATTGCTGCGGAGCGACCATCTAAGTGACAGAGAGTGGCGGGAATCTATACTACACCAATGCACAATAATAGAGACAGGCCATCTCCGATTTCGTTGTCTGTCTGCCCGACTGCCTGCTGCCTGCGTGCGCGTCAATTTAAGTCAATTCAAAAGACTAAAAACACAAAAGTCCTATTGACAATGCTACGTTCTCAAACTCATCGCTAGAGTGCTCCAGCCAGAGCAGGCTGAACAAAGGTTTGATTCTCCTGCGGCCTCTTGACATCTCAATCCAGAAAGTACTCACCGAAAAAAAAACTGTTTTTATTTAGATAAAATAAAGTGGTGAGCGAAGGTGCAAGCGATTTTTTTATTATTACTTTCACAGTTAAAATCAAAACAGAGAAAAATCTCAAATATGCTTATGAGCGTAATTATGTACATATGTACAAGAGTGTAAGCGTTATGAATGGGTTACACACAAGTGTACATATACATATACGTACTAAAATAAGCGCAAAAATAACTAAAAAAATAAATAATAGTATTTATCTGCAGACATTATTTTATGCAAATATTTGAGCATACATACATACATACATACTTTGTCAAAATTTTATTTTTATGGAATAATCCAAACTTGTTGAAATAGAACTAGGCCACTGTTTGTCGGCAGAAAACATTTCCAAAATAATTTTGAGGAATGCTGTCGAGCTGACAGTCCTTGGCCGGATAAAAATCCGGGTTCGTTACATAGCTTGCACTGCCGTAGTTACTACAATAGATCCCTCAATTGAAGTTGTTTGAATAATCAGGGGGCGTGGGTGTTTTTGCCAACGCTTCCGTGGAACCGGTACATCCATATCGAATATTGATACTGGAACGCTAACTACAATATTTAGTATTAATAACGGCAATTTTTCATATTTTTATATTTTGATTTTATGCAGAATTTCGGAAATTTAAGGTAAACTTTTCAGTTTTATACCACTGTGCGTCTAGCTATTTACAGACTAGCTAACTATACGCTAGATTTTTCACTTCTACAACAAAACTCATTACTGTGTATCAATGTATTTTAATACCCACCTACCACATAACAGATAGCGCATACCTATTTAAGGCTCTGTGGTACTCTTTGTGCTCTAGCCAGAGATAATAAATACTAAGGAATACAAATGCAACAACACTAAAACAAATTCTTATGAAGAGAATGGACACGAGATTTTCTATTGAAACTCTGCAAGAAAGTTAACCAATTATTTTGACAATGACATATACAGTTATTTTGTGCATGTGTAAGTATATACGAGTACATATGTATGTATACTTCGCTCCGTATTCATACATCTCCCTCGGAGTATGCTACGAGTAAAAGAAAAAAATAAGTGAAAGCAACAATGCCGAAGTCGAAGAGCAAAATACATCAGCCAATAAAGCAAATCATGACCGAAACTCACCCTATCAACTAGATAAATGCAATTACTACCTACAAATATAACAAAACTGTGCAGGTAAAGTCACTCAGTCACGCTCTGCGCGCTCCTTGTTGCTCTACAAGACAGTTACTTACGTGCATACCTACGTCTTCGACGACATCAACTGATAGAAATACGCGCATATTCAACTCAGTATATATACATAAGTTTTTGAGCATCTGTTTTGAAAAGCGGCAATATAGAGATTATTTGTACTATTAGAGAAAATATCGAGCGGGGAGTTATACAAGAATCTAGACGTTTTACCAATCTCATTCGAAACATTGCTGACGCCACGAGTGATCATGCAATCATTGACCATTAAACACAAATTTACTTGACAAACGAACGTGCTGATGTCAGCTGATAATGATGACATCGTTTGTGGCACTGTGAGAAACGTAAATAGTTGAGCCAATCACTAAGCAAATGCAATGACATTTCAGAAAGTAAGTGCATAGTTAATGCGGTATAGAAATACTGCCACATATATTTATATGCTTTTCGTAGCTAGTCCTGCAGTTTTTGAGATATCGATCTGAAACTTTGCACACCTCTTGTTTTTCTCCGAGAAGCTGCTTATTTGTGGGAACATCCGACAGTGGATTACTTTAGCATATAGCTGGTATACAAACAGATCGATGAAAATGAAGTTCTTGTATCGAATTTTTTATTTGATAGGATATAAATATAACATATTGTAGCATCGGCAGTAGTGACTTGCTGGAAATTATATTTAAGCCGTCTCCGTGGGATCTTTGAATTTTCCTTGTATTGGAGCTTCGGAAGTAGTGAACTCCTGAAAATTACCGCCACCGTAGAGCCTTTGAATTTTCTAATTATTTTTCTACTCAGGGGAAAAAACAAAGTAAATTTCTATCAAAATTGTGCTTTTAGATATGTACTGTCCTATGTACTACTATAAATACACATAGTTAGTAAAAAAGTTTATAAAAAAGTTTTTTTTTTTGTAACATACTGTAAAATTCAACTCTGCAGATTACGAACGAGACACAAAGCATAAATGAAAAGGGCGCTGTCAACAATTGTTGTCATCCTCTGACACACCAAACCGAATGCAATGCAAAACAGAAAACAAAAAACATATAATTCTGATAGAGTGCGAGTCCAGAAAAGTTTGAACTCGGATGGTTTCAATTAAATATTAATTTATTTTAATTAATAGAAAACAGATATGAGTTGAGTGTGTGTGTGTGTGCGTTAAAAAAATATTAAAAGCGCTAAATTTTGTGTGCAAGTGAATTAAGTGATAAAGGCAGAGTATCAAAATTGAATTCCTACACGAAATTTAATTGACTACTTTAGATGTCAGCAAAAGTAAGTGCTAATTACAATATAGAATAAAAGTGCATTTATAATTCATTATTAAATATTAAGATTTTAGGCTAAGCAGCACTTTTGGTTATGTAAAATATGTACACGATTTAGGGGCACTCGAACAGAGTTATTGATTTTTCGTTTGCAAAAATTATGGTCAGCAAATTAGGCAGAAAAATCTCAGTATACCAACAGCAACAACAAATACCGCTTGATTGCACAACTTATTTTTAGTTGCAATTGCAGGTTGTTGTTGTTGGTGTTGCACCAGAAAATCAATGTTAAACAAGTAACAAAGTCGATTGGCATTTGCGCTAAAAATAGCCAAAGGACTCAAGCAAACAGACATTCATATGCATACAGTTTTATAAATAGTTAAATGTGTACGCTTGCACACATATGAAGCATTGCATAAACAAACGCAAATGTGATGTTGGCGAACACATACGACGAACACGCGAACGCGCCTTCCTGTTCTGACCAGTCATCGTTTTCAACACACAAACTTGTATTTATAACTCTCATAGGTGTATGTGTGCAAGCCGTGAACTTGTGCGTTCGCTGGCTGAAGCAATGCCTTTTCCGTTTCCGTTCGGTGTCATTAACCGCCATATCGAATTTGTACACACACACACACATACACACCTATGCACATAAACAAGCGAAATTCGACGCTCACGTTGTTTGAGGCGTAATTGCAAAATGAGGTCAAGCTTTTTGCGGTAAAATAATTTTGTTTATGAAGTATGAATGAAAGTGTTTAACTTTCATGCGTCAACAAAGATTCCTTATAGCTCAATCAAGATTGAAGGCGATAAGCTAAAATGGGCGCAAATCTAAAATATTGCTTTATTATGACCTAATTATTTTAGCAGCGCCAGTCTTTTGTGCTAATGCATCTAATTTAGGCGCAACCATCGTGGGCACAGGCGAAATTTCGCAATTTCAAGTTTGGAAATGATTGCGACAACTTTCGGCAACGTTTTAGATAGAGAAATGACGTTGCGTTTTATTCGACCTTTTTTTTTTATTGAATAGGCCAACAGTCAGCCGGAAATAAACTTCCATTCATTTCACAGTCGCGCCTACCTTTACAATATATTTACTGTTCTTTTGCCAACAAATCATAAGCATGCGTGACTTTATCCATTTTATTGTCGATATCCGCAACTTATCATATTCGTTAGGCAAGAACGCGTGTCTATCCAAAATTATTCCCAATAATCGTCATCACTCATTCCGTATGTTATTCACATATATTATATTTTCCTTACGTATTTTTAAAATTTGTTTGTGCCAAATGCTTTATGTCTTCTTCTGTCTAATGGAATTCTGTCTCTTGAAATTTAATGTTAATTTATTATGTATGTAAATATGTTAAATCAGAGAGATTTGTATGGCCGCTATATGCTATAGAGGTCCGATCTGAACAATTTGTTCGAAGATTGTAGCATTTCCTCGAACAAATAAGTGAGTATTAAAGAAAACCGTTTTCCAAACAAGGACTTGATTTTTATCGATCAGTTTGTATCGCTGCCATATGCTATAGTGAACCGATAACAGCGGTCAGCAAGCAGCTTTTTAAAGAGGAAAAGACGTGTGCAAAAAAAATTCATATCTATAACTCAAAAGCTGAGGTTCGCGTATATATAGACAAATAGACGGACATGATTAAATCGACTCAGCTAGTCATGCTGATCATTTATGTATAAACATATATATAATTGAGTCGCCGACGTTTCCTTCTACATAGTTGTTACAAATATAATATAATATCCTGTTCAGAGTGTAAAAATATTTTCTTTCACAAAGTATAACTGACCACCCTAATGTTATACACACATGCTAATATAACATTTGCTGCATGTCTTTTTTTTATGACATGAATTATGTGCCTCTTCTACTGCGCGCCTGTCTTTTTTAATTAATTTAATGTTTTGCATGACATTCTATTTTTGTTTTGTTAAAATTTAAGTTGCCTTCGCCTTAGAAGCCTAGAATGCTATTGGTTAAATGAGAGCTAATAATATATTTTTTTAGTTTACTGTCCTAATTATATTGTTTTGCTTTGAGTATTGAGTTTCTTCCAACGAAGGGCTTGTAAATATTAGCAGACAGTGGTAGGAACATGTCATGAGAGGCTACGAGGTACTACGTATAAGTGGTTTGAAATTTATTTGAATGTGGCAGTGGCTTACCACGAGTATGCAGGATATTACTAAGCAGTTTTCTCTTAGGCAACTACCACCCAACGCAATAGACACCAGTTCTTCGGAAAGTTTCCACATAATTGGTTAAAAAACTTAATTTTTTCTATTAATAAAGTTCTAGCAAAATTGGCGAAAATGACAGGAATCTAACTGCTAGAAAAACCAGCTGCTCCGATTTAAGCCTTAAAAATCTAAGTTTTCTAGAAACAAAAACCTCATGAACCGAATTTCCTACTGCTAATTGCTGCTAAACCGCAAAAGTCGATACATTTCTGAAGAGCATGGTTAATAGTGCTGTATAATCACTCACTTAGGAGAACGTCAAGCGAAAACGGTCGTGGTTTTGACGGTTAGAAAGGTAGTGCTATGTTTTTGGTGGGATTGACAGGGAATTATCTACCATAAGCTGTTTCCCTGCGGCCATACTCTTAATTTGGACCCATAATGTCAACAACTGGATCGTCAGAAGGCAAGCGCACAGAAGCGGCCAGCCTTGGCCATTAAGAGAGTTTTTGTGCTTCATCAGAACAATGCCTGGCCAAACACATCGATATGGATTTGCCTTGGGAGGCTCTTATGCATCTACTTTATAGTACGTATCTGGCACCAAGTGATTACTACCGGTTTCTGTCTAAATAATATTTATACCACTTTCGTACTCGCAAGAGAAAAATTTTTAGTACAATATATTAATTTTTTTCTCAAAATTTTCTTCAAATCAGCGGGGCTATTATAACAAACAAGCAAATCAAATTCACAAAAATAATTGCTATAGAAAATTTATAAATATGTGTGTATAAACTATCTAATTTTATTCTGAATTTCTCTACTCAAAAAAATATTCATAAGACGACCCTGTTTAACATGCAATTAATAACTTTTTAATTACAAACAAACACATATGACAATTAGCAAACGGAAGACAAAAAAAACAGTAAATGTTAGACACAATGTAAATAAGGTTGTGTATGTAAACAAACGGTTAGTATGCTATTTGCATGGAAAGCAGAAGCACAAACACTGTACTACAAATATGTACTTGCATGCATGCTTAAATAGGCGGCTAAGTCGGCTGAGTGGGCGGTTGGTGACCACTTGACCAGTCGGGTGGGATCTCTTATGTAGGCATCGATGTACGTGTATGCGACGTCTGAGTGACCACTTCAGCTGATTTGATGTCATTCGCTCCATTTAGCATCGCCAGCTCGTGGTTGGTGGTGTCAGCGCTTGTGTCGAAGGTAAATACGCAAAGCAAAGCGCGTCAAGTGTCAGTGGCACATTATTTCATTTTGGGTTTTAACAGCGACGCGCACAGTCGCACCGACAGCTAGGCTGCGTGAACTAGCGCATTATGAACACATAAGCGCGCCGTGGCAGTTAGAATAAAACCAAAACTTTTTTTGCAAGGTGTTGCAGTGAAGCGTCGGTTCACGCTAAAAAGAGTGTCTAAAATATTGCTATGTAAGCAGTTTGGTGGCGTATTTTTTTATTTTTTTCCATGTATTCAGTTAAATGCTAAGCATGTGTGACACGCCCGTATATGCCGCTAAGTGCTGTCACCGTGGCATGAAGTCACTCATGACTCGTTGGGCGTTGGACGCGTGCAGAAATCGCGCAGGAAATTAGAGAACTAGAGAAAATGTAGATTTTATAAAAATTTCAGCAGCACATCTGAGCGGAATAAAAGTTATTTTTAACATGTGAAATCTCGATTCTTTGCAGCGCTCTGCAGTGTAATCTTTTAAATCGCCACGTCAACCAGCTGTGAATATGGTGAAAATTCTGCAGGCCTATAATTTTGCCAAGCAACATACATACTCTCTGAATGGCGACATTCTATCCGCCTCATTGATAGATTCCAGTCGCATTGCTGTGAGCAGCGCCGAGCAATTTATCGAAATTTATGATATCGGTGGTAAGCAGCGACGCAATGAATTGAATGGCATCGATTTGAATGCAATTACCACGGCCAGTGAGTATGCCGCTGCTGAGGCCGAAGCGGCGGCGGCTGCAGCCCAAGCTGCCGCGGACGAACGACTACCCACGAAGTATACTCTCGCAACGGTGGGTGAGGTGGTGCACTTGATCTACTGTGAAGCAGGTGAGTTTGATGAGTTCAGTAAGAGAAGTACCGAATTTTTAATCTACATTGTTATGTTATCGCTTATAATCGATAATCGATTCAACACAGAAAATATCGATAGCAAAGCTTTCGATTATAAAGGTATTTTGTATGTTCAAACTTTAAAACACCTTATTTATGTTAGATTAAGAATATCGCCCAGTTAATAACGGGCTACCATATTTTTCACGTTTAACCTTAGAAATAGAGATTCGTCAAAATTTTCATTGTTATTCATCGAAATCGATATTTATCGATATATTAATATTAATCGATACTAGTTTGTAACTACACTTACATTCGTTGCTACGAAAAACGGAATAAGAGATTTCTAAAAACCCACCTTTCCTTTCGTTTAACGTAGGCAAATATTTACTCACATTGGAAAAAGAGACACTTGGTACTCCAGTACAAAGTGGCACCACTGGCATTAGCTGCACCAGCAGTAGTAATAATACCGTTATTTGTCCGGAGGATGATACCAAAATGTTTGTACGCATTTATGCCAATTTTTGGAAATTTTCCGAAGCAAAATTGATCGACCTACCTATTACAATACGCATCGCCTCTATGACCACACCCAAGGCACCACTAGTGGAGAGCATCGATGTGATTGAGTTACCTTTGCGTAGCCCGCCCGACCTCATACAATGCTGTCAGACATCTGGCAACATTATAGTGAGCAGCAAGGAGCGCATCTACCTATACGAGTACACACAGTGCACACACGAGACTACGCAGCCGCGGTTCTCCTACATTGACTTTCTACCGTTTAAATTTTTTGTAAATCTAAATTTCGTGCCACTGCGTTTGTGTCTTGCCGAGAATGTCATAGCTGCTATGAATAATCGCTACTGTGTCGCCTTCAAAGTAGTCGATGTGGTGGGCAGCAGCGCAGCTGGTGGCGTACATTGCAGCCCATTAGATAATGACTACGTCGGTGGCGGCGGTGGTGGTGGTGTCTGTTTGGAGGATGTGGCTGACGTAGATGTCGACGAGGCTATATCTAGCACGGAATCGAGTCTAATGAGCAAAGCAAGCGCCGGTCCCTCGAGCCACAACAGCTTTGAAACAGATTCGTTGGAAACGACATCAAGTGGTCGACCGATGGGTGTGGCCGGATTTCCAGGACGCACACCAATCGATTTCAATGTGGCGCGCATAGTGAACTCGGCTTGTGGACGTGAATTCGAAGTGGATTTAAAATCTCAATGGGAGTTGGGCGATGCTATAAGTATTGGTGGTGGTGGCGGCGGTATGGGCACGACATCGATTGCTAGCGGTGGTGGTTGTGTGAATGATACACAAGAGATAATAATTATGCCGGCGCGCGCTAACGATATTAAAATTAAGCTGGTTAATGAAGCGAAAGCTATGAATGTACAGGTGAGTGCGGCCATAAATTTTCAAGCAAATTGAGTTATTATAACGTGCAATCTTTTTGCAGCGTGTCTCCAGCCATGGCAACATGACGTACGCCTACAACGAGGACACCAGTGTTCAATATGATGTGCGTAAATTGCTGCAGATCTGTATGAAGTCTTCGGAACCGAATGGACGCATTGTGGATATTTTGCGTTGCATGGATCTAAAAGCGATTTACCAACGCAATCCACACGAGGATGATTTAGCGGATTCCGAATACGATATGGGCAATCAGCAGGTGCCTGGTGCGGTGACCACTACCAAACACGCCAATCGGCGTACACTCAAATCCGAAAAGCATCAGAGTTGCGTTGGTTATGCTTTGTTGGTGGCAAGCAGTGTCGACGGTTATCTCTATCAGTTTTGTGCACAAGGTATGCTGAATATGTACTTTTTTAAGCACAATTTAATAAACACTTAATTTTTTAGGTAAATGGTATAGTGAGAATGAGAAGCCTATCGCCACATACTCTTTCACCGCGCCCGTTTTAAGAGTGCACATCAACGATTATGTCATCTATGCAATTACCACAGAGTCAGTCGAGACACACACGTCACGCATTGGTCATAAACTCTACAATAATCGCTTTGAATATCCCACACTGGGTGGGCTTTTCCCCGAGGAATCCAGCCCCGATGTCAATTCGGCCATTGCTGTTATCGGTCTCTGCGCCTTCATGCATGTGCAATATGTCTGCGTGAATCGCAACAATTTAGTGCTCATTACAAATAGTGCACTGGCCAATAACAACAGTGAAGCTAATAAAAGACGTAGCGGTGGTGGCGTTGGTAACGCGAGTGGACGAAATATTGCTGCGCGCATACTAGCCGAGGCTAAAGTGAAGAATTTGCTACGCAGCAGCAGCAACAATGCGGCACAACAAACACAGCTCAATGAATGGACGCTCTATAATTTGGAGGTGCCACCGGTGGAGCATGTGATTGAGGATTTGGAGGCAATTGCAGAATCGTATCGTGCGGCCAGCAGCACAAACTTTTACGATTTAATGGAGGAGGCACACGTCATGCTACGATTGAGTCTATCGCTACAATGCGAGCAATTGGCCGAGGAGCGTGAACAACAGCTGCGCTGCAAGTTTGTGGAGAATTGTCGCAAATTGGCAGACTTTTCAATACGGTAATGATTTTTTCGTCATAGCTGTGTACTATTGTTATATATTAACATTTTATGCATAATTAATTTGATAGTTCGCGCAAGAAAGAGGTGTACCTGCAGGCCACTGGGTTTTACAAAATGTGTAATCTACAACTTGCCGATATCTACAGCAATTACATTAACTCTTATGTGCAGCCTGCATACATAGAGCAACAACAACTTCCATTTGGCAACTGCAGCAATTCACCAGTAATTGATGAGACGCAATTGATCGGTCTAATTTATACTGTGAAAATGTTCCTACTCGGCTTAGGCACTGATCGTCTATTGGCCGCATTTCTTAATCAGTTGGTGAAACCATTTTTCACACCGAATCGTGTTATAGAACAAGGCTATCCACAAGTGCCTTTGTCATTGGAATTTCTCAATATGTTTATCAAATATTCGCCCGTGGACATACCACAAATCATGCTGCATTCGCCAGTGGTGGCCGATGCAATAAGTGGAGAGTTGGTCAATTACCTAAAATATCTCGACAAGCTGTAAGTTTACAGACTAAATTTTAATTGCTTTCATTTTCTTTAATAACAATGTCTTAAAGCAATCCCGACGAAAACTTACTGCTCGCTGTAACAGCATGTCGCATGTCCAACTATCTGCTCGCACAGGAAGTAGTCGCACGTCTGAGTCGTCGTGAATTGGCCGTGGCACTGATCAAGCATAAGAATGTGCTCTTCGATGATGGCACCGTGCTCTTTCAACGACGCGGTTCACAGCATTATGACTCCTTTAAATATCGTAATGCATCCACTGCTACGACAAACGCTGCGCAACAACTACACAAATCTGCAAGCGCAACACAAGCGGCGCGTCGTCAACACAAGCGTAAACCATCATTTGGACAAGCGCCTGCGGCAAGCGTTCTGCTCGGACCAACGCATACTGCTCATGGTGTGATTTCTTTCTCAGATTTTACTGAAACCATTTTGTTGGCCACAGAGAACACGGACTTGATTGAGGCTATCAGCGATGTATTCATACATGCGCTTTGCATTGAGCATAGTATTACATTGGAAATCATTTTACAACTCTTTCTTAACTATATCGCCTCGCATATCGGTCACAAGGGCTATCAGACCTCGCAGAAGGTGTTTGTGAATATTTTGCAGGTGCGAAAAATTTTATGAAAATAAAAGTCGTTAATAATTTTTTGTTATTTATATATATATATATATATTTAGTTGCCAAGTTTTGTCTATGCCACAATATTATGAGAGTTTTTTTTACTAAGCTATCTCTTATTTTTATTGTTAAATAGTTAAGTAAAATATTTTGTTCTTCCAGGTCTATTATTATGACTTTTTCGACGTTAATCCCATGCACAATCCACATGACATGCCCTCGCACTCGCCTCCGCACATGGTTGGCGGCGATGAATACGAGGAAACTTCGTCGAAAGCGCCCTCATTGAATAGTGAACGCGACAACGAATCGATTGTTAATTCATTGCCTGAATCCAATTCAGGCGCTAGCTCATCCATGGACGAACGTAGCTATTCGCATCCTACAAATCGTAATCGCATTGTCTACGATCAACTGCATGAGCACAACTCGCCATATAAACGCAACATAACACTCTCACCCATACAATTGGACATGAATGAACAGCAGACGCCATCACAAGCTGGCAGCGATGCTGAAACGAATCTAAAAGGTCTCAAAATACTATTCCGCATGTACATGGGTCGCCTGAAGTCGCTGAGCGATCTTATAACTGATTTACAGCCAGCCGATGTTGAGCAACAGCCCGTTAATGAGGATTTTGTTAGCTTACGTATGGAGTGTATTAAGTTCATGATACGGCATTTGCAAGAATTGCGCGCACAACAACAACAACAGCAGCAACAGCAAAATAATTTATTGCGCCAAAACGCGTGTACACAGTATTACTACACAAAATCAGCTAGCTACAGCGCTGCGCAGCCCACTGGTGTGCCAGAGGAGCGTAAGATCATTTATGTGCCATTCATACCGGACTACAAATTGAGTGGCGAACACTTTGAACAACATATAAAAACATATTTACGACCAATACCCTGTTTGTTAGATCGTCCACAATATTTGAATCGTTTGCCGCCATTTAGGCGTGATGACTTTAGTTTTCCCAATCGCGACGAGGGCGAGTGCGAGGTGCATTTCCTAGGTTGGCATAACGAGCTGTTAACGTTAACGCTGAAGATACAGGTTGGTGCTACTATAACCTAAGCTCTTATGTGTATGAGTTAATATATAATATTATATTTCTATTTTGTTTTTTTAGTCACTCTTGGCATCCACAAAAATCGATCGCGAGATTATTGAAGAGTTTATAGCATTCATACAAAAAACACCGGATTTAATTGGTATCGACAGTTTTTTGGTTATTGTTTTACCGAAACATTTAGCCATTAACTACATGCTGAACTTCTGTCCCGAATATATGTGGCAGTATGGCAAGGTGAGGCATAGGCAGCTTATATTATTTAAGTTTGCCACGAAGTTTGTAACGCCCAGAAGAAAACGTCGGTTACCCTATAAAGTATATATAATATTAATCATTATTAATAATCAGTGCGACGTGCCAAGTGGCTTGAGCCATTTCAGTCTGTCTGCCTTCATATACGAATATCGTTTTCACACGTCATTTTCTCCCTAAGAAGCGGCGCATTTCTTGTAACCGCAAATATTGGACCAATATAGCACATAACTGTCATACAAACCCTCTTGCGCCATTTCGTACTAGATATTGCAGCAGGTTAAACTCCTACTTATCCAGAATTGACGCCGAAATGACATATATGTGCTGCGTGGAACGAGTTTTCGCATTACTCTAACCACCTATTTGCATGCCCAATTAATCTCACTCATCTAACACCCCACTCCCTAGAAGACTTCGATGACAACCAAACTGAAGCTTCTCAGCCAAGATTAGATAACCGCTACAATAACAACAACTGTCATACAAACTGATCGATCAAAATAAAGTGCTTGTATAAAAAAAAAATTTTTTATTGTAATATACACGAAATCCCCACGAAATTGCGCACGCATTAATGTCCAAGACAATGCAATAATTTTCGAAGGAATTATTCAAATCGAACTGCTATAGCATATAGCTAACATACAAAATCATATATCAAAATCTTACTATAGCACCGTAACTTTGGTGCAGCCGACATTATTGTTTTTTTGCTGTTCTAATAATTATTTTTAATATTATTTTTTAGTCAAACGGCTTTACGCCCAAGCATTGGGAGTCACTGCTGAAGAAAATCCTAAGTAAACAACACTTGGTGCCTAACTGGAAGGCGCATATAACCGGTAAGCCAACAAGTTAAATAACATTTTCTACTTAACCTCTAAATTATTACAAAACCACACACAGAGATTCTTAACAATCTGGTGGCTGAATTGTCATTCGAAGAACTACTGCAATGCTTTCCCAGTGAAGCGATCAAACACCTGAAAACCGAAGCATACCTAAAAGAATTCAACGATAATCGTATCAATTATGTCAATGACAAATTGACATTCCAAGAGTTAGATAAGCCAACACAAAACTTGTGCGACAACGAAACTGTGCTGACACGCGATCATCTGCCAATGGACAACATCGATGAGAATAATGTGTTTGAACTTACATTACGTAAAGCGGTTTCGAAACAGCGCAGCATTGCATTGCGTTCCATGATCGAATCGACGGGCACACAGCTATTCGATGCAACTAGTAACCCCATGTATAACCTTTGAGATAATCATTACACTTAGAATAGACGGCAACAAGATGGCAAGCAAAAACGCATATAATTGTTTAAATGCGTTCGCGGCAGCGAAAAACTTCGCCAAGTACATAGTACTATGTGTATGCATACAATTAACAACAACAAAATTATATGAATATTATTAATGAACATATAGTTTAGTGTATAGACGCAAAAGCGTATAACAAATGTTGTATATTGAGAGGCATAAACAATTTACGCTATAAATGAAGTTATTTACATACATATGTATATGCACACACACATACTTCTAGTATACCTGCAATATTACGGAAATGATTGTATTTATTATGTTATAGTAGGCAAGCCATAAACACACACACACATACATTGTTTTAAGATTAAGAGTAGAAAATAGTGCGTTTATTATTACTTCTTCTTTTTTGTTTTGTTTGTTTTTAAGTTTAGAAAGAGGCACAAGCCATTTCGGCTTGTTATACGTTATACGTAACTGAGCTGTAGTGGAAATAAGGAAAATACACATTAACGGCACGAATTCCATAGTGCAATTTTGCATTTTTTCACAGTTAAAATTTCCAAATTTTATAAAAAAATGTGCATAACATTTTTTTTATTTTTTTACATAATAATTTTCATTGCGCATTTAATTACTGCAAGTTCTAAATGCATTTTTTTAATTGAAAAGTTGTGGCACTTTAAACAAAAAGTTGCAAAGATTTGTTGTTTTACTAAATACTCATGAGAGACAACACAAATCTGTGATGCTATCACGTGGCTATTATTAAAGCGTTAATATAATTAAATTATTATATTTGTATTGCATTTATAGGCTTATATAAAATAGTTTTGTATTAACAAGCAGTATTTTATGATTTAACAAACTTACAGTATAGTTTTTAAGCAATTTTACTAAGCATTGTTATTGTCTGTGCAAAACAAATTATGCTAAAGAAGCGTATACGTTCTTTGAATTAGTCTATACTTTTACAGTTATACAAATAATTGCAGCTTATATAATATATATATACAATTAAATGTTGTACATATTATATACTCCGCTTTTACATACACACACTCTCGCTACATAAGCGTCTAGTTATTTAAGTCACTTTATTGATTTTATTGCAAAATATTACATAACACTTTTATACATATGTAGGTGCATACACATTATATACAAGTATACAAATACAGTGACATTCTTCAATTGATATTAAATATGCGCAAATCATAAAAATTATGTAAACGTTTGTTCATGGTATATATGTATATATAGTACTTACATACAGACATATACTAAAGTTGTAAGCGCGCATGAACATTTCCATGTTTTTTCTCCAAATAAAGTGATATTTTAAATCAAATTAAAAATTGCAAAATTAAAAAAAAAAAGCTGTGTGTTTTTTGCTGTACAGAAATATAAATATGGTATCAAATTTTTTATTCAAAACTAAATGAAGCATCAAAGCGAAATTTAAAATTTTAATTTTTTTCCCACCACTCTAGTTGAAAAGAATTAAGTTAATATTATTTATTGTATTGTTACAATAGAAAAAAACTATCTATCTCGTAATTAGTTAGAATATTTTTATTAAATTATGCAACAGCTTTTCGCCGTATTCCTCAGATGTCTAATCAATGCAATTACTTTTTATTGACCAATTGGTGATAGAAAGCGAGCCACCGTACAATGCAATTTGTAAATGGCACGTGACTCTTTTTTATTTATTTACTAAGTTTGAGCAATACTTGTAAGCTTGTTACAAAACAGTTTAAGCGAATTTAATTTATCAAGAACAATCTTAAAGCATTAATTGAAAGAGATAAAGATTGATTGCTGTTATGTTTTCCTCGGTTAAGTGATGAGTTGATTTTTTTCATATTTCAATAGGTTATACCTTGTAAAAAAAAAACATACTACAACTACATACATTCTATTTTAAATCTATATTTCAAATAGTTTTTGAGTTATAGTATTCTAAAGTGTTGCCGTTCAATGCAAACAGCTTTGTTAGTTTAACTTCCAACGCGTTTTTCTTCAAATTACATTTTTTCAAATTTGCTCGAGTTATTAGGTTAAGTAAGGTTAGGTTACGCTTTTCGCAAAGTTTAGTGGAGGCTTGATATCTAATTCTGATACTTCCTCCAGCCCCTTAAATTGCGCCGCTCCTAGGTATCTAAGCCGAATTCTAGTTAAGGCCGGACATAAGCAGAGACCTTCTCGCAAGTTCCAGCGTCTCTCTTATGCATACTTCGCTGCACTTTCTACACGTCTCATCGTTAATAATATCCATACATGTGATGCAGGTAAGTTGTGACCTGTGACTAGACCAACAACTGCCCTGCAGTCTTTTCGAGACCGTGTGAGTAGTGCTTGAGTGATTATTTTAAGACAATTGAGCGCTAACTAACAAATTCTTCCTGCATGTTCGATATATAGTTCTCCATACAATGGCCTACCCGTTAATTGATATGATTAAATTTTTTATTTAAACCGCCGCAATTTTATCCTATTTTTTCGACCGTATTCCAATGCACAGAATATCTTCTAGTGGAGAATTTTCTGTTAGTTTTTATCCACGATGAAGGCCGGAATCTCTGCAGCAGTAGAGGACCTGTTCGAAGATCGCGTGTAACTCGAAAAATATTTAATTTTTTCTTAAAAAATTGTACTGTGCATTTTTATATTAAATTATAAAACAATTGATAAAGTTTTTTTTTTCAATCACCAAAAAATCGCCCTATTTAGGCGCTCACACTAGATGTGCGCATTAAAAACAAATATCCGCTATGAGAACTTGCCATAAGTCATTACAGATCATAAAAGGTACAGGAAACTAGAGCCAATTATGAATAGAGCATCCTAATAAGAAGGTTTTGGGAAATTAAGTTGAACATTGGCATACAAGAATCGACGGAAAAATTTATATTTTGGAAGCGATAATGAAGAATAACATTGAAAAACCTGAAAAGGTCGATGTTTTAACAGTTTGGTTCTAATAGATATGGGATTCTACAATTTTTTATACTTAAGGCCCACTGTCAGGAAAAATGAGAAGTGGGAGTAAATATTGACGACTATTAATGTGTACGTATGTGTATGAAGCAGCCGCAATTATTTTTGATTTATAGCTATTACCGTTAATAGCTAAAAATACGGACATCCTATTCGTATGTTTACTTATCACTAATGTCATTTTATCATTATATATGTCAGATCGCTAATATTATTTGGCTTAATGGCATTATGATGAGATTTGATAAGATAGCAGTTACGTCACTACTGTATATAATTTTTTAGTTACAATTTACTAGGGCTACCTATCTTATTTGGTTGGTTTAGACGATGAATTTTCGATATGAAATCTATCGAATGATATATTTTTACTGTGTCGAAACTCATAGAAGAACATTTCATATTCCAAAATTTTCAAATTATCTACATAAAAAGTGTCAGAATCACTACACTGACATTATTATTTTAAATTTGGACTCAGAAGCTCTAACAGCCGTCTACACATTTCTATGCAACGATAAGTTTGCTTGTATTTAAATTATAAATAGCACTCACTTCTCGTAAAAGTGAGAGGCGAAAAAAACTACATAGTTTTTATATCAATGAGTTTTCAGTATATCATGGTGGTATGTCCGCATACCAGAATGATTACAATGTTTTTACACACAATATACCTCAATTCAAGATATATGATCATCTAATTGCCTGCTGTGTGATTTTACCTCACGAGCCGGCGATTAGCGCAGCACACGTAAAACTACCTGTCGATAAATGAAGTCATATACTTGTAGATTTAGCTGTACATACATACACATGTATGTAAGTATGAATGCACAGTTTATAGCCAAAGTTTTGAGCTGATAAGCGGAGTAGATGTATGAGTACAAGAAAAACGCGCATACAATGAGTATCGCTCTCGAATGAAGCTTCCAAAATAAAGCAAGAACGTCTAAAAATAGTGATAACAAGCAGGCAATTAAGAACTATAGCCGCCAATATGCTCTCATATATATAGATTATACGCACATAAACATTAGTATGTAAATAACCAGACTATGCGCTCTTTATAAGTAAGGTGCTTGCTTACAACACCCAGTAAGCATTTATTAGGCGATTTAGCAAATTTGGAAATACTCTTTTATAAGCAAACATATTACAATGTAAAATAAGCTAAGATGAGATTATGAGGTATTATGTATATTATGCAGTGTCATCAACATAGGAATTAAGCAATTAGGCCAGTCTGGAGCGCTCAAAAAATTTCTAATTGCGCCAATTTAATTTGTGAATAAAGAGTAGAGAATGTAGTGTCTTTGCTATGGGCCAATTTTTGGAATCATCCTTCTCAAAGAGAGTTCGGCGGGAGACGGTGAATCTACGAACTTGTGCTAACTGAAACTAAATAAAAAACGAGATCTTATTTGACGACTTGCTAGTCAAATACGTATGTTTTTACATCAGTTTGTCGTAAAATAGCGAACTTGTAAAAAAAAAGTTCAATCTGAACGAAAAATTAGCAGTAAATTGTTATCAGGCAAGAGTATCCGTTAACTATAACTTTTATACCACGAGTATATATAATATCCCAAAAACGTAACCAGTCAATCGGTTAGTTTGAATAGTGATATGATATAAACAATTTATTTGCACATGGTAACGTTGCCTTGGACAATAATTCATGCCAAATTTCGTAAAGATATCTTGGCAAATAAAAAAGTTTTTCATACAAAATGTAGGTGTTGTTCGATCAGTTTGTATGGCAGCTATAGCCTATAGTGGTTCCGACAAATGAGCAGCTTCTTGGAGAGAAAATGACGTGTGGAAATTTTCAGATCGATATTACAAAAACTGTGTGACTGGTAAGCGTACGGACAGAGGGGCATGGCTAAATCGACTCAGCTTGTCATGCTGATGATATTTATATATACATACGGCATTTACCATAAATATACATATGACATTTATTAGGCGATATATATACTTTTTACGGTCTCCGACGTTTACTTCTGCGTATTACAAACTTCGTGGCAAACTTAATATACGCTGTTAAGGGTAGTATATACTATTGATTGTATAGTGTTTTTTAAGATGCCAAAATGTTCTATAAGACACCAAAAACTGCTTATCATTTCTAATGCTCGCTGGGTTCTTCTAAAGCAATTTTCCCAATAGCTCGAACACGCCGGCGCAATCAACAAGGCAATGAGCAGCCCGAGAGTAACAATGCCGTGTACCTTCTTTTTATTTGTCTGAGGAACGTCGCGCTACTAGGTTGCTTTGGCGCGCGTCTGCCGTATGCATTTTGGAAAACTTCGTTAAAATCAAAATAACCAAAGAAGCCGCTGATCAGTTGAAAAAAATCGCTTTAGTTAAAGAAAAGAAAAAATACTTTGATCACGGAGTTGTCAAAGCGATCATGACAACTGAAAGTGGTGCAGTAAACAACGCGGCGCCTGCGACGGTAGCGAATGCAAATGAAGAGTCCGCTAAAGTTGGCGATGACTGCACGTTGGATGGCATTCTGGTGCGTATCGGACAATTCGGGCGCTTTCAACTCTTCAACTATGTGCTACTGTGCATACCGATGATCTTCAATGCATTCTTCTCCATTTCGTATGTGTTTACGGCGAGTACTGTGGTGCACAGGTGGGTGAAAACTATTTCGGTGCGTTACATAAAAAACCACAATAATTATAATAATAAAACTTGACAATAAATCTGTGTGTGTAGATGTAACGTGACGCAGTGTGATAGCGCTTGGAGCGCCTATGATGAACCATGGCTCAACTACACCATACCCATGAAGGGATCCAGCTATGATCAGTGCACACGCTATGTGACTAACGGTAATTCGGCACGTATAACCACGAATTACTACGCAAACCCCGCGAGCAAGTTCTGCGCACCGGAATATTTCAATCAAAGTGTTACCGAGAAATGTGAAAACGATTTCAAATTTCGCGATACTGAATATACAATATCGAATGAGGTAACAACGTTAGACAAGGCATTCTATAGATTTTTTTTTCTACAGTTTTTAGTGATTTCAGTTTTCCATTTTCTGTTCGAGTATATGGATGCTGACCATGGTTGGTACGGTAAATAATATTGGACAGTTTGTGGGCATACCGGTGGGTGGATTTTTCGCAGATCGGTAAGTAACACTTTTAAGGATTTTAAGGCTGCAACAAATATGTGGACTCATTAAGTTCAACGCGCCTTTCAGTAACAGCTGGTGTCAGAAGCTTGATTGTGTGTTGCAGTCGAGCACATTTCGTAACTCTTAAAATATTTTTCTGATTTTCGTCGATAATAAGCTATAAATACGTTATGGATATGCGATAAGACTAGCGGTGCAATGATTACCAATTTTTCAAAAAAGTTAAAACATATAAAAATTAACTACACAGACACGAATTTACATGAAAATAATTTTGATAACGATTTAATCTATATTTTTTTCTTTATATTGCTTTTAGTTTTGGGCGTCGCACAATGCTCGCCTTCGGCGGTTTCTTCAGCGCCATTATGGGTATACTGCGCTCAATATCCACCAACTACTACATGTTCATAGCATTCGAATTCATCGATATGGCTGTTGGTAGTACACTCTTTCCCACGGCATTTCTTCTAGCCATCGAATTAGTGGGACCCAAACGACGCGTGGCCGCCGCTACCATCATAACGATTTTCTATTCGCTGGGCGAGGCGCTTTTGGGCATTTTAGCGCAACGCTTCCAGAATTGGCGTGATTTATTGCGCGTGCTCTACACGCCGGCGCTCTTACTGATACTCTTTCTTTTCGTGCTGCCGGAGAGTGTACGCTGGCTGCTGAGTCAGGGTAGAGAGGAGGATGCTACACGCTTGCTCAAACGTGCCGCACGCATAAATAAACGTGAAATACCAGAGAATGATTTGAAGGCACTGGTAGCGGAAAATCAGGCAAAGCTAGGGCAGGCACAAGAAAGCCACTATCCGATAGTGAAAGCTTTGAAGCTATTTCGTTGGCGTATCTTGAATTGTTGCTTCTGCTGGTTCACGCACACTTTGGTTGCATTGGGCTTGAGTCTTACCTCAGTCACGCTGGGCGGTAACAAGTACACAAATTTCCAATTGAATGGCTTGGTACAAGTGCCTGGCTTAATTTTACCGCTACTGATTATGGATCGCCTTGGGCGGCGCTATTCGCTATGCGGCTCTATGCTGGTATGTGCACTTTGTATGGGCATTACCGCGCTGGTGGGAGGAAGTATGCTTGTATAAATGTGTAAATCAGTTCTTTCGAAGTTCATAGTATGTTTTTCGTTTATATGCTTTTAGATCATGAGATTACCGAGTTGGTGCTGTTTTTAATTGGGAAATTTGCGATTACATGTAGTTTTCAGATTTTATACTTTTTTACTTCGGAAATATTCCCTACAAATGTACGCAACAGTTTACTGTCATTTTGCTCTATGGTTGGACGCATCGGATCGATGTTGGCCCCACAAGCACCGCTTTTGGTAAGAATTGAACTTACGAGTAGATTTTTGTGTTTCTTATATGTATTATTATTGTAATTCAACTGTTTTCAGGCCAATTACTATGAGTATGCGCCGCAAATACTCTTTGCTAGCTTTGCCTTAATTAGCGGTACATTAACTCTGCTCTTCCCTGAAACGACTGATAAAGTCTTACCAACAACGTTACAAGATGCCGAACAATTGAATGATAAAAAGCGTAAAAATAAGGCAAATATTGTTGAATGAGTTATATTGCGGTTGGAGTGAAGTGTTTTGCGAGTATATATGTATAAACAAATGTAAATTGTGCATTTTGCTAAAATATTCTATATTTAATAGATTTGTGTACATATATATATGTATATATACTTAATTTAAATGTGTTTTTGTATGTATAGAAATCCGTTATAGGTCAGGTTAAAAAACGTGTTTGGAAATTATATGCAGCATTTATGGTCAGCAGTAATATACAATAATATAATAGTAAATAAAATTGTTTCAGTTAATCATTTTATGGTGTCACTTTGTAAAGACAATATAAGACAAATATATTTAATGTATAATACATGTTGTTGTACATTATATGGACTTACCTAGAGTTCTTGGTACAGAATTACGCATCCATATTACGATATTGTAATCTAATGAATATGGTAGGTTTTTATAAATTTCATTGATAATTTAGTTAAATGTTATTGCTTCTTGCTACATCTGATAGATCGCTTAATTGCATATTATTTTTTTGATATTTGGATATACTTAATTGATTATAATTGCTTGTTTTGTGTTCCAATATACTTTATATATCCTATATACTTTATATATGTATTTTTTGTTTCAATATTGATATTATTTGTATTGGGTACGCATGAAAATGCGAAGTTATTGTAATTTAAATATGAGTTCAACTCAATTTATCACACTGTACGTTTTAAGACAATTTGAAAATTTTCGGTAACTACATAGTCATCCTTAAAAATTACCAGCAAATTTAATTCAAACTCTAAGAAAGAGAAAATCAATTTAAATTAGAAACTTTAAGTGATTTGTTAACTCAGCAAAGTTACCAATTTTAAAGTTCTTTGTAATCAATGTTGGACAAGTGAACAGGCGTGGTAGAATCATATAGATAGGTATTTCGAGTTTCGGACAAACATTTCCGTCTGCTATTTGTATGGTTTGAATTTCTGTTGCATCTTTCGAATATCCTTCTGTGCAGCCACATGTCTCCACACGCAGTAATTGCATTTCAATTGACTTTATAGCTACTTCAGTGTGCTGTACTGTTAGCTGAAAATTAAAAAAATTTATATACTCGTATTACATTATAAACATTTGCATATAAATACACACCTGTCCAGTCAACGGCCGTGTTACACAACATTCGGTCTGATCTAGTTTACCTGTTATTAGAAATCGTGGTATATTTATACGTTCCTTTGCAGACTTTTGTAATGTTTCTGGACTTATACTGAAATTCACCTCAGTCGATGTGAGCGTTTTGGTATCTACCGCAATGGGTTTATTTTGTATGCAAAACTGCTGAATTTTCTGTAGAGATTTTGCCAAAAAGCTACGCTTTACGTCACAACGTAGCTGGTAGTTAATGTTGATAAATACACCATGATATGTTTCATAAAGCACTCGCGGTTCTTTGTTACATACTAACGGGAGCTCGAAATGGAACTCGGAGTTTCCTGCCGCCAATTTACCCGGCGCAGCTAATTCGAGTGTTGTGTTGAATAGTGTTATTGGTTTCACAGAATTATAGAATGCATCAAAAACGCCGACGTTTTTTGTACTTAGCTGTAGATTTACTATACCTTCTAGTGTAAGTTGGATGCCTTCGTGTTTAGCTTCCGTGGTGCAATTGAAATGCACGCAACCCTTTAGTAGTTCCTGAAAGTTTTTAAATTCAATACACTGATATTTTTAAACTAAAATTTGTATTTTTTAATTACTTACACCTTCATAATATATTTTATTTTCCTTATTTAAACGTATTTCAAAATTAATTGAACTCATTGTGGCAGTTTATCAGGAAACAAAGTTTACGCAAAATGAATACAACAGCTGTTTTTATGAAAGTTTGCATTGTTTACATTGTCACTCAAACTGTTTAAATAGTGCATGATTGCAGAATTCGTAAATTGCATATACTTTAAAACTTTTCGGAAGAAATAATTAAATAAAGCATATTTTTTTAATCTCTTCCAGTATTTTGTTTAATAAAATTAAAGTTAAATACAGCCGCATTTATTTTTCTAATCATAACAAGAAATTCAGTCGATAGATAATTTCGATTTCTTGATTACTTGCACACATACCAAAAATCGCCACATATCGATTTCTCAATAATCTGGGAATGGCCTTTGATTTTTTGTTATTTTTTCAATAGTTGGAGCAAAGTGCTTTTCTTTTAATCCAGTTTCAGATTAGATTAAGAGTTTTAAAATCGAATAACTGCGTTACAAACACAGTTATTATGGAGAATTTAAAAAAGATATTAAAATCATACGAAAAATGGGTGGCTGCGAACCCTGAAACCGTCTGCGACGTTGAGACTACCACAAAATGGATATCTTATTTCATTGCTGGCAAGTTTATTTTCAATTGCATATAATTTCATAGTATAATAGTGCATTTCTAGGACGTATTTCGGATTCAAACGTGGTTTCCGAGCTCGTGTATACATTATCCAATATACTGGTACTGTATAATGATCGTATAATCGACAGATCGCAACAAAGCAGATTGATATCCGATTTGCAACCTGTGAACCTAGAAGCAAGTACTAGTGCCTTTGCGCAAAGTTACAACAAAAAGGCAAAGTATATTTACCGACTAAAGGTCATGTTGACCACATTAGAGTATTGTGAAGTTTTCATTGAAATATCAGCAAAACGCATTTTTGGAAGTAAAGGCAAATGGTTGTTCATTGCTTTGGTGCAATTCGCCAAAGCGGCAGGCCGTTTCTACATACTAAAACATTCGACACAGAAAATCATCACAACACCTACACTCCCCGCACTTAATCGGCGTGCAATTATAAAGAAACAAAAGAATGCGCTGAAAAATGGTATAATAATCGAAGAGTCCTCAGAAAAAAATGGAAAATTGAACTCAAATGTATTTGGCGAAAGCACTACTACATTCCAATTGAAACGTTCGGGACGCGTGATACGTAAAGTGGAAGGTGCGCCGCCACTACAGTACCGCGACTTCAAATTAGCAGAGGAACAACAATTAGAAAATGGTAGCAATTCGGTGAATTTCCGTTTGGTACAAGCAGAATATCTGTATATAGCCAAGCCGTTAATACACTTAGCCACAATGGGTTTGTTTGGTGAGAAACGTTGGAAACAATATGTAGTTTCACTGACATTGGATTTGGTTAGCATACGTATGTATCACCAGCATCGTCAACAAATGAGCAAAGAACAGAAGTTGGAGCTATCACGTCGTTGCATCAACTTACTATTATATTTGGTGCGTTCACCATTTTATGAACGTATAACACAATCACGCTTAGATCGAATGCTAGGTTTTGTGGCCGACAATGTACCGCTGATCAAAATGATTGCAGGACCATTACGTGAATATTTACCCTACTGGCAGGGTACTTATTATTACTTATGGTCAACGTAAAATATATATACCATATATTATATTTTCGATTTATGTTTTACAAACCTAGTATTGACTTAGAATGCATATATTTTATTTAAACGTGGAGAATATTGAGGTAGGGAACGAGCATAAATGCTATTATGTAGTAATTAAGCAATAAAGCAAACACTTTTGTAAAAGCAACATGTATGTTTTACATTATTCAAACATATGTCTGTAGTATGAGTGTCCAGGTAAAAGTAAAATGAACAAGTTATCTTAAGTTTGCCACGAAGTTTGTAACACCAAGAAGGAAATGTCGGAACCCTATAATATATGTTCGTAAAAAAAATATATACATAAATGATCAGCATGACGAGTGTTGTCGATTTAGCCATGTACCACTGTATATACGGGACCTAGTCTCTGTTTTTGAGATATCGATATCGATGAAATTTTGCACATGCCCTTTTCTCACCAAAAAGCTTTTCATTTGTTGTTGTTGTTGTAGCGGCAGAATTCTGCCGAGTTGACAGTCCTTGGCCGGAATACACCCGGGTCCGTTCCGGTTACGAAGACCCGACTGTCGTGGGACGGGCTTTGCCGCTTTTCATTTGTCGGAACCTACTGGTATCGGACCACTATAGCTTATAGCTACTATACAAACTGAACGATCAAAAACATTGTAAGGAAAACGTCTTTATTCGACAAGATATCTTCAAGAAATTTAGCATGGTTTTTTGGCTAAAACAACGGTACAATCTATGAAATTTTTTTTAAATCGGACCATATAGCATATAGCTGACATACAAACTTAACGATCAAAATCAACTTCTTGTTGTAATCTTTTCTATTTGTAAAGTTTATTATAGCTTCGGTGCAACGGAAGATTACGTTGTTCCTGTTTTACTGTCAGCCAGTCTTTCAATTAATATCAATAATATTTTATAATGAATTAAATTATTAACATTACGCACTTGCGCGTTGCCGTTGAAGCCACAGTAACATGCCTCAAATAGTTCCGTAGACCAGTCTTTCTGCAGAATACTAAAGATTTTCTTCATGCTCTGATATTGAATTAAAATACAATTTTTTTTGTTTGGATTTTACTTTTGTTGCAAAATTATATGCTTGTATTTCTCTTATAGGTCTTTTTTCCAGCATAGGCTTCTTTCCATTCTTATAAACTTTCCTTTTTATATTCGGTCTACTGCAGTTAAGTATTTGATTACAACTAGAACATTATTTTATTACTCAAAAAAAAAAACAACTTAAATCTACCCAACTATTGTTCTATTTTTTGTTAGAATGATTATTATGTTTGCCTGACTCGAACTGACTGTGTAAATCTTTTGGTATAAACCTGCCGCCAACTATAATGCATGTATGTAATTTGTACATCTTTAACGATAAATTTTTATCTAAGATTATTTAGATTTTAATATTAACAGTTTTTAAAATTAACAGTAAGTTTTTGTTTTATATTAAGCTCTCAAGGATTCTCTTTGTTTTGTTGGTAAAATCGTTTGTTTTGCCCACATAGTAGAATTTCTTTAATGGTAATTGTATATTCAAATGATATAAGTGATGGTTTTAAAAAAAAATGTCTGGACTGTAGCTTACAAGCTATACATACATATATGATTATTTAGAAAAATTGTATTTAACGAAAAATGATAAATCTGGATCTTATGCTCGTAGTTAACTAGAATGGTTAATTAATGACTAATACGATATATAAATTGTAAAAGCAATAGTATTGTTAAACACATTCACACTCAAATATCAGTTAAGAAATAGTGAATGGCAAAGTTTTTATTAAAATTTTAAATTGAATCCCGGACCCATAGCCAGTTGACGTTGATCAATGCCTGCATTTAGTACGAAACCAGTATTCGCAGCAGTTTTCTTATTACCTGTTATAATGCCCGATATTACTTTGCTATTGCTATTGGCAACACCAGCCGCATTGCTACCACCACTACTGCCCACAAGTATTTCGTCTCGACCCAACTGTTTAAACTGCGAACCGCCAGAGGGTGGTTTGGGCGAAGAGGCGAGAGCTTTGCGAGCACCCAATTCACTTTTCGCCGGCCATGTAGGAAACATAGATGGATCGATGGGCAGAGGCAGCTCATTGAAGTAGCTGTGTTTAAGCGCCGTTTCAGCGGTCAGTCTTTTCTTGGGATCATATGTGAGAAGACCCTGTAGCAAGTCAATGCCTAAGTCGGTGGTTTTGTCGGCGAAACGCTTACGTAAATTTGAAACAGGATAGTCGGCGAATTGGGAATTCTGGCTTAACATATTCTTAACAATTGGCAAATCTTTATAACCGGGCCAAATTCGTTCGTTTGGTGTGCCGAGCTCCTGCGGAAAGAAATACGTAATATCACAAAGGGCGTTGAAATACTTAAGCATATATTTTTAATGTATTGTCTTACCTTGAAAATTTTGTTTAGTTCATCCGTCTCCGTTTTACCAGGAAATAGTGGCCCCATTTGTAGAAATTCGCCAAAAATGCAACCCACCGACCAGACGTCTATGGGCGTTGAATATTCCAGTGTGCCGAGCAATAACTCCGGTGCTCGGTACCATAGTGTAACCACCAATGAAGTGTAATTTTTCAATGGTGAACCATATTCTCGAGCCAGACCGAAATCGCCTACTTTCAGCACACCCTTGTGCGAGAGCAACAAATTAGAGGTCTTTAAATCGCGATGTAATATCCAATTATCATGTAAATGACCGACCGCACGCAATAATTGCTGCGCCAGACATTTTACTTCGCCGGGAAGGAAGAATTGTTTACGCGCCTTCATCGTCTCCATCAACGATTTCAGGTCATGTTCCACATAATCCATAACAATGAAAATTTTATCCATATTGGAACCGACAACTATTTCGCGAACCGTTACTATGTTTGGGTGTTGGCCTTTTAGTAAGGTGTTGATTTCGCGTAACGATGTTATGGGAAAGCCTTCTTTTTCCTTCTCCATTTTTAAACGCTTTAAAGCAACTATCTCGTTGGTACGTTTATCCTTGGCGCGGTATACCACACCGTATGTGCCTTCCTCAATACGATTGAGACATTGGAATTCTTCAACAGAGCGACAACCCTGTATGCCCGGAAAATAGTCTGGCAGTGGTGCACCTTTGTCATCGCGTGCTGGCGAGTCGTCTCGGCTGCCACCTTCCACACGACGTCTGCTACCAGCAGCAGCTTCTGCCTCTGATTTATGCGCCGACTTCATGTCACGCTCTTCTGAACGTGAGCGTGAACGTGTTCGTGACTTTGAACGCGAGCGCGAAACTGATGATCGGGAACGTGAGCGCGAGCGTGAGGACACTGATCGTGAATCGAAATGCGAATCTGAACGAGAGCGTGTACGAGAACGTGATCGTGAATTTGTTGTGCGGTGTTGCGAAGAGTCACGTGAACCTGAATTCGAACGCGAACGTGTGCTCTTTCTGCGGGGTGAGTGCGAACGAGAGCGTGAAACTGAACGTGAGTGTGAGATTGAATGGGCGGAATGAGAACGCGAACGTGATAGACGTTGATCGCCATCGTCATCATCGTTTTCTATATGCTTTTTGCCTTTCTTTTTCTTGTGCTTTTTTGCGCGATGTTGACGTCGTGGTGATTTCGAAAGCTCGCCAATAGAAAGTGGACTTTCGGGCAGATCTATGTCATCGTCATCTTCCTCATCATCATCATCGTCGTCCGTATTGTCGTCATCAGCAACACCATTGTTACGCGCTCTATGGTTATGATGCCTTTTACTGCTTTTCCTCTTTTCTGTTTTGCTATGTTTATGATGTCGTTTTGCGTGCCGCCTCTCAGCATCGTCCACTTCAGAATGACTTTCGCTGTCACTTTCACTATCACCACTGCCACTGTCCGTTTCCATATCCTCGCTATTATCCTCGTCTACTTCATCATCTTCGTCATCGCTGTCTAACGCCTCGCCCTCTTCCTCTTCGTCACTACGCTGCTTTGAAGCTGTCGTTTTCTTTGATCGTTTAACTTTTACAATAACCTCGGCCATTTCATTCTGTTTCTTACGTTTCATAACGTTTAGTCCAGCCGTAACAGACGCTGCTACAGCGCTTGGACTAAGCGCATTACGCGCTCGACGTCGTGCTTCCAATTCTTCACGCGCTTTTTCTTTGCGTTTTTCCTTCTCACGTTCCACAGCTAGTATTTTTTCTCGTCGTGACAATACCTCCGGATCATCAGGCGTTTTTCGCTTTTCTATGCGCTCTACGCGTTCCGCCGATACAATCGTCTCCACTTGCAACACTTCACGCTCTTTGTTGCGCCGTTTATGTTTGCGTCGTTGACGATGCGCTTCTCCCTCTTCTGTGGCTGCACCCTCCATCTCAGCCAACTCCGGACTGTCCAGCAACTCAATTACGGATTCTCTCATCTTTTCACGTTTCTGTCGATAGCGTTCATTGCGTTCACCATCGCTATACCTTTTCCGCTGCACTGTGGTCGTCGTCTCATAACTTTCGGTTAGCTCGATTACATCGCCACCACTGCCTTTTACATATTTATGCCGTTTACTTAGCAGCCTTGAACGTAAATCCTGTTCGATACTTTCCGAATCGTTTTGCGGGTCGTAGTTATACTTGCGTCGCTCACGTTGCACCTCATAGTTGACATCATTGTACTCAATATGCGAATGCTTGCCACCACCACCACCACCACCGTATTGTTGCTGTTGTTGGTGGCGATTGTTATAATAGTCCAGACCGCCATGATGGTATCCCCCGCCACCGGAACCGCGTTCATAGTAATCTGGTCTTTGACGTTGCATATGTGAGTGCTGATATTGTTGATGATACACAGCTGTTCCGCCGCCTCCACCACTATTTCGTCGCACCTCATTGTTGTGTGGTTCATATTGCTTTGCATAACGGCGTTCGCTATTTGACATTATATCTCTGTTAATAACGTCATCACGCTCATAACCGCTGCCTCGTTGGTGATAACGTAACATCTCTTCACGCTCTTCGCCGCCTCGACGGTGGTCTCGAGCTCGCTCCATATCGCCTGGACGTGGACCTCCTCCACGATCGTTGCGCATGTCACGCTCTCGACCATGTGGTTCCCGTGTGTCATAATCGCGTGGATCGCGTTCCCTTTCGCTGCGGTCACGGCCACTTCCACGTTCTCGCTCGCCGCGATGTTTCTTCTCTTTGGAATGTTTTTTCTCTTTGGACGACTTATCTTTGCGTCTCGAGCCTGTGGAGTCACGCGTGTGCAGCACGTTCGCTTGTGGTGGTTTAATGTCCAAAGAATCCGCATCTTCCTCACCGCTAATTAATTTTAATTATGATGAAAATATGAAATAAAATCGGTAAAACTTGGGAAGAGAATAGATATTTGTGTGTTGCTTCATTGTGATAATTCATTTTTTTTTTTTTATCATAATTATAACTATAAAATTAGGGCGTTAAATTTTGCAAAGTAATAAAAAAAAAATTATGTATGCATGTGAGTAATGAAAATTTTAGTGATATTTGTTAGTTAAATATATTGATGTTTGCCACCGCTGACGAACGCTTCCTGCCATCGCCTTTGCCATTTGACATATGCATTCAATTCATGTTCACTGCTTTGCGGCCTGGTTAGTGTACATACCGTTCCAGTTTCGGTCGGAGTCCAGTGTGCAAGTTCAAAAAGAATATGTTTGGCGCTTGCAATGGCCAGTCGAAACACATTAACTCAATTTTTTTTTTTTTTTTGGTTTCTTTTTCGTTGTTTTTTTAAGATAATAGTTTGTAAATCTAGTATTTTTTAACTTACATCCATAAAAAATCAAGGAAAATTTTTTAACGCCTCGATGTCAATTTACTTTTATGGCTTGGTCTGCTTGAGATTGTTTTAAGGAGCTTCCTATATTTTCGGGGAGCAGATCAAAGTAAAAATATTCAAGATCAAAGTGTAGTAATGATTTCTTTAGAAAAATTGAAGTTTGTGCTTAATTCTATGTTATTACTACATAAATGCTTAGAGCGAAATATTTCTTTTAAAAATTAATAAAGCAAGAAAAAGCGTTAACTGCGGCTGCACCGACGCTATAATACCCTTTTTATAGCATAAAAGGGTATAAAAAAGATATTTATCTCGATTGCGACCGGTCAGTCTGTAGGGCAGCTATATGTGATAGTGGTCCGATATCGGCGATTTCGACAAACGAGCTGTATCTTGGTGGAACACAAGCACATGTTCGATGTGCAAAATTTCCGATCGATATCATAAAAACTGATAGACTAGTTAGCGTATATACAAACAGACGGACAGGCTAAAACGACTGTTCATGGTATAATGACATGTTTGACTACTAATTAAGGTGTGTTTCATAGATGTATATATGTATATGAAGCATAGAAGGATTACATAAAGACGACGAAATGTCATTTTAACACGTAGATGCTGATTTTCATTTCGTTAGTTTTTTTATTTGAATGCAGATGCGTGATTCTTAACCAAATTTCGAGTATTTACATATAAAACAATGCATCGAAATTTCCATGTAGTGTTGTTATTGTGCAAGCGAGACACAAGGTCGAGCGTTTTAAATGTTGTAATAGAAAATATGTACCTGAAAGCCGGCCATTACTACAAGAGATATGGTACATTGCAAAAAAGTGATGAAAAAAGCAATAAGTGTTAAGAGTAATGCCTAATTTATTTTTTCTAAGCTTAGACGATTGTTCTTTGAACATTGCGAATACTTCTCCGTTCTTGTCATCCGCTGTCTGAGTTACAGTGGATTGAGAAATATGTATGTATATACAAAAAAAAAAAAATAATGTAAGCTATTGTAATAGTAATTTAGTAACGGTTTTAGAGCAATTATACATTGATTGGTTAGTGGTTTAAGTTGGTTTTAAAATTTAAGTAAAACATTTTTCTAACAAATACTAAACCACATGTGATAAAATTGTGCAATGTTCCAAATAATTATAGCAATTTTTTGTTACTTTTTATATGAACTAAAATAAAATTTTATTTATTTAGAATTCGAAATCAATCGGCCATTTGTTAACACATATACAAGTATACTCTAAAAAATTTGCACTTTATTCCTAAAATGTTAGATTTAAAGCAATAAGAAACATGAAACGCACCTCAAATAGTGTCCGCGTTAGATTTCATAGACGAGTATAGTTGTAACACATACACATTTTTTCAACATTTCGATAGCTATGGCATCCACTTAATTTAAGTAAAATCATTAATTAAAGAGCATATAGTTGTAGTATAGTTTTTGGACATATGTATGTACATATGGGGCTTTTTATGCGCAACTATTGTTTTGCATAATTGACGCTTTCTTCATACGTTTTTATAATAAGTAGTTTTGGTATACTTACACAAGCAAGTCATCTGTCCTTAAAAATAGAGTAACATACATAAGTACGTTGATCGTATTAAATATTTCTACTTAATATGAAGTACTCACTCACACTCACCTTGAGTTTTTTTTTTTTATTTACCTTGCGAAGCCCATTAAACAATTCAGTCAAGCTAAGTGTCCAAGGCACACAAAAAGTAAATCGACATCAGCAGCTAATACCTAAGAACTTAATTTAAGTTTGGAAGATAAATTGAAAGTAGAAATATTTCTTTTGTTGTATAGAGAAAAGAAATAAATACTGAAAAATGTTGCGTTAAATGTAAATAGACTTTTTAACAAAAAATAAATTTACCAAACCAACAAGTCTGTTGTCCAGCTCAAATTTGTCGTACTTTACATATTTTTGTTGTGCAGTGCGAGAGCGCAAAGTGAGAGGAGTTGTACGACTCGTAGCCAGAGTAACAATAGTACTATCTGCCTATTCGTTTGTCACACCCACCTGCATGGACGTCAACAACATATCTAGTAGTAGAATTTACTCCACTCAACTAGTGGGTTTTTTCAGCATTTGCGTATTACAAGCAGGCGGTCAGCTGGCTAAACACAGTATGTTACATTGTTGATAATAATATATTTATATATATATATATATATTTATATTTCTTCTCGCCAAACTCCCGGCTTAACAGGCAATATAAATGTGATAAAGTGGACTTTCTTCCTGTTACAGTCATTTCAACATCATCATTTGAGCGTTATTGCATTAACGACGATCATGCGCGCGCACCCTCGTTGTTTGGACGAAATACGAAGTAACGCGTAGAATATATGTATATCATTCACATTTCGTTTCGACTAATGTGCACCAAACTTTTTCAATTGGTTTTGCACCAAGATACGCGAAATTAAGAGTTCATGTTAACTTTATTTATGATTTTTTTTCTTTGGTATTTTGGGTGTAATTTATTTTTACATTTTTGTTTATATTTTATATTATTGTTTTTTGATTTAATGTGAATAGATGGTGGCCATCGCGCGCATCGTTCTTTGGACATGTACACACTTTTTGGCCTATTTGCAATGAAAAAACTTGAGTAAATTAAAAAGTACTTAATAAAGTGGTATTATGTTTAGACCTAATGGGTTGGAGAGTGGATACTTGGTAATTACTTGGGATTAATGATTTTGATTAGGAAAGGCACAAGGTATGCTGAAAAAGTGGGTAAGTTTATGAATGGGAGTTGTTAGGGTAGGGTTGTGATGGTATTTTTCGTATATAAAAATATTACAAAATTAAGCAATTATATAATAATTTTATTCATGTAACAATTTTGAATTGCATAGCTCAAATCTATGTTTATTATTAATAGTGGTACCATAATTACTTAATTTTGTAATGAAAGCTGCGCCATGATATACACAATTCTTTTAATTACAAATGCAAAATTTGTATACGTGCTTTTACACTTTCAATAATTTCCTAAAATTCACAATTCAACAATCTTCAAAACGTAATGCGTAAATATTATTCCATGGAAATTTGTTTTCAGTGCCCTTCAACCCATAGATTCTACATGTATGACTGTGACTAAAGACACGAGTTATACACACAATGTGATTCCCCTTCTACTCTCCCCACAAGAAATAATACATTGAGTGGGCAAACAATTTTCCATGGTTTTTCAAGACATAAAATACACACCTTAATCCAAAATTATCATTGCCAGGACTTTGTAATTGCCCGTCTTCACTGCCAGACATAACGCAAAATCTGGTAAATTATCAAATAAATGTGATCAGCAAAATTATGTTTGCTGAAGTCTGTCGTTCTTTTGTCTCGGATTTGGTTCGTCCTTCACACGACAAATAAGCCAAACAGCTAACTTATTTTGATCTGCGGTATATTTCACAAAATTTAGCCGATTTACAACCGAATATTTATAAAATCGATGAAATACACACAGTGAAGATGTTTGCAATTATTTTGGTGCAAATAGATTTTATATATTAAGTAATATTTTAGTTTTCACAGCATTACTAAAATTACACTCTGCACCAATTTAGAAAATATTCTGGAGAAAAACTAGCAAAACGTTTGTCAACGTCGTGTGAAGAGAAGAAAGAAAAAATGGCGTATTTCCAATGAGACCAAGTTGTTTGACGGGAATTTCAGTGCTACCACTACGACGTAAAGAATCAGCATGTAAAACATCTGACTGTCAAAATGTTGATTATTGAAAAATTATTGAAACAAATGTATGCGTTTATGAAGTTCACAAATATAATGCAATTTAGTGATATTTGAATAAAATAAAATGTTTCGACATATTATAACTACTACGAATCGACAAACCTGCATAGCCAATGTTGTCTTACGTTTACAGCATTTTTCTTCACAACCTAATACACCTCAAGAAAGTACGAGAAGTGGAACCTTGGACCGTATAAAGGAAGAATTAACTGCAGATAAGGAGAGACTGCAATGGCGGAAACGAATAGGGGAAAGACCCGGTGATTGGAATAGTAAACTAAAAGTTTTCGACAATTCAGAACAAACTTCTGATTATATAATTATGATGCAAACACCAATTAATCTGAGCCCAAGCGCGTTAAAGGAATGGTGGCGCAAACGAAATGAACGTGTTGAAAAACATATGCAAAAGTATGTGCAGGAGCGACATGAAATACTAGGACCCGAACTAGCGGCTGCACATTTCATTTTATATCGCGGTGGTGCAGTTAAATTCTTACACGAACGTAGCTGGATGCGAGCAAACGACGATGGCGAATTCAATTTGCCAAACAAATACCATCCGGGCTTCAAAATCGAGGGGCTTCGATGTGATAACATGACTCTATATTACGAAGGAATAGAGAATTTATGTACTTTACAGGAAATGAAATTTCTGTCATTTCATAATGTACACACATTTGATGATTGGTGTTTAGATCGAGTGTCTAGTTCTGGTTATCCAAAATTGGAAGTTTTAGATATTTCAAATACAAGTTGCACGGTAAATGGCCTTTCGTGTTTATATCGCTTACCAACTTTGAAACTGTTAATTGTTAACGACCCTAAAGAAACTTTGGAGTTTGAATTGGCATTCTCCATGTTACAAGAAGTTATACCAAATTTAAAAATTGTTGACGCGGCATCAATACATAATTTATAACCAAAAGTAATGTTATTTTAAAATTGAATATTAAAAATTACATATAAAAACTAACATTTTCAAATTGTTTTTTATCGCTTTAATATACCCTAGTCTTTTGATGGTTTGGTTTTCATATATTCGGACTTGATATCTGCACGCTCTTCCACTGGGGGTAAGTAGGGCGCAATTCCTTTTGCTCGACGGTCAGAACGTACTTTATTCTGAAAAAAGTTTGCAATATATTGTATTTACGTTTTTTAGACTTTTGCTTGATAAATACCCAAAAGTCCTTGCAGTTATTATAGTTGGCAAAATATACTTCACATTTATCCCTATCGTAGTTGTATTTATTAAGGCACTTAAAAGACAGTTCCTGTTCACGCAAGCAAGGGTTGTCACGTTCGGCATTTGGATTTCGCGGCATTTTAAGGTATTATAGTTATTAAAATGCCAGAAGTTATATAAATTTAAGCATATTTTTTCGTAAGCGTAGTGTATTCAATGTTTAGAAAGAGTTAAGAAGGGAACAAGAAAATTGCGAATGTCAGAATAATAAACAGAATGTAAGGCGGCGAAATGTTATTTTGAACAATGTTGTAATATCATTTCTAAAACAATATATAAGAAAAAACTCAATCCAATAGATTTTTCTACTGATATGCTATAAATAAATAATATTTAGACAAATATTTTTAGCTAATTTATACTTGGCATCATTTTCAATAAGCAAAATATTATCGTTTTCTAACTGCTAACGAAAATTTAACTACTATCCTGCCGTACATTTATTACAACACTGTTCATGATTCAATTATATAATAATGCTAGAAACAGTTACCGACGCAAACCCGTAAGCCGAATCAACGAAAAACTGATACGACCTATCTTATGAGAGCGCAATGTTAATGAACACTCACCATATTTGAAATATTCTTAAGCTAACTCAAAATCACAGTCGAATACAATTATTTATAAATAGATAGACTATTTGAATAGTTGGATTTTAGTTTTGATATTTTACAATACGAAAAATTATAACTGAAAAGCTAGAAGCAGAACAACTGATTTCTACGTTGCCACCACGGGCATAACTATCGATATATGTCGTTTGAAACCAAGGGGGGCGGCCCGTCGGTGACTAACTGAAGCATAAGACACATGCTTATTTCCCCAAAAGCTAGCGTTTTATCTCTGCTAGCGTAGTCCACGGATGGTTTGAAAACACGTACGGTGTGTTAAAAGTAGTGATAAGATATCAGTTGTTCTCTTTCAAAATTTCCGAGTTCACCAATTTTATTTATTTACAATTTTTCAGAAACTAAAGTTCTATCGTATGGTATACGTTGGTGTTATTACTGAACGTTTCGTGTGACAAGCGGCACGCATTGCGCAACTCAAAGCAAAAATCAACAGTGATAACTGGATGGTGTGATAATCGGTGGTGATTGTATGGAAATTGTGAAAGTACACGTAAATAATAAAAGTTGAAAGGAAATCATCAAATATTAATATCATAATATAAAAAAATATGAAGAAACGAATGGGTGGTTCGGACGGCAACAGTTCGGCCGATGAAAGTGGCGCTGAATCTCAAAGTGCAGCCAACAGCAATGATGCCTACGAAAAATCATCGAAACCACGTAATTCGACGTCCATTTCAAAAGATAAAGAACTGGACGAATACGCTGAGACGTTTGTAATTGTAAATGAACGGCCGGTGGACGATATTTCGCTTGATTTCTTTTATAAACCGCATACAATAACTCTATTTGCAATATCTGTACTATGTATGATGTTCTTGGCCTATGTCAGGTGAGTGCGAAAACATATGAAACTATAAATATAGTAGATATTTAAACAATGCTTGCAAGTGGCTGAAACAAAAACATGTGCGCAACTGCTATATCCTTTCATTACAACAGCGTACAACTTACTACCTTATGGACCTATACCAGAAATTCTAATTCCATCAATTGTTGCTATTATACTGTGATGACATTTTTTTTGTTGTTGTCCTTAATAAGCAAATCTTGAATGCATTTTGACGTTGCATAAGTTTGTATTTATTTTTTTTTTACCGCTCCCTGCTCATAACACATTAGTTGGTGGTCCCAAATAAGTTGTACATTGCACCAAAAATGTATGTTTTCACATATACCTTGACTTATTGCCTTTTACTGCCTGTCAGCAAGGTGAATGTGTTTCTACATACATATATATACACCCTTCCTTCAATAACACAAAACTGTTTAGCTATTCAAGACACAACAAAACGTGCTTCCGAAAAAGTAATCAAAATTAAAAGAGAAAAAACTGAAGTAAATTTTTTGAAATGTCTATTAAATTATTAGCCGGTAAATTTTGACTTACATTAATTCTAAACCGCAACAATTGATGGTGGCAATTAAAGTTTTGTTACAACCTGAAGGAAGCAAGAAGGAATATAAAGTGATCCAAAAAATGCATTTGTAATGTCAAAAAATTCGCTATTGCAAAGTGTGGCGAAATCAATACAGGATATGCAACAACAATTTAAAGGACAATTTTACAATCTATCAAACAAGTTCCCTCCCTATCAGTCCAAATGGATGCGTAAGTTTCGAAAAATTTATTATTTCCATAGGAAATACATTAGAGCGATTCGATAGCATAACACTTGATAAATGTTGAATTGTTTGTGCCATTTCTGTAAACACCATGAAGCCGATGACAATTTCGTAATCTTGCTAAAACTAATAGTTAGATGTATTGATTAAACAAAAACGTGCCGTTATAATTTGCATGCTGATTGTGAATCGAATGACAACTTTTCTTTGTTCAATTTGGGTGTTGAAAAAACAATTTAATAAATGCATGCGCAAAAATAATAGCTTTGTTTTCCTTCTTCTCAATTGAAATCTTTGCCAAATATCACGTCTCTCTTTTTGTGAATATTTTTTACTTTCATGGGTCACACGTGCCATCATGTCAGTTCGACAATTCGAAGTACGTTTGAATTTTCATCAATGAAAGATTTGAAAATTCGTATCGAATAGTAGATTGTGAAATTGATAAATATGTGTAAAACTAATATAGATGTATTTTGTTTTTGGTATATGTTTTTTTAAAGTAATTTTTTTTTAACTGTAATTTTAAAAATCATACATACATATACATATGTATTTGTATTATTATTTTATTTTGATTTTGTGGGACGATATGATATATTATACATATGTATGTATATATTAAGCATCAGCTTATCTGTTACTATACACAGAAATTTAAAAATATAAGACTAAAAAAATGTATTCACGAACGCTCGTAGGTCATAAATTTGACTTTTTTTGTATTGGTTGCTAACCTCCAAAACAAAACACTATTACTAATCTCAAAAATGTTCTATTTAAACAGTCGTCATCACAAAAAAAGCAAAGCAAACAAACAGATGCGGATCTTCTCACAACAAATAGCGCCTGTCACACGTTCAATATTTATTGTGATATTTGAATCGTGATCCATACTGATGATTAATGGATCGTTTTGAAACAAATATGTATGTTAAAAAATAGTTTGGCTTTATTAAATTTGTTTTGTCCGGTTTTTTTATGAAAAGTTGATGAAAAAAATTCCACAAAATCATTGGCTCAAAAAAATACTACCTACCATGGCGAAGAATTCACCGAATCTTTGAAAAACATGCATTTTTTTATACATAAAAATAAGTATATAATACAATTTTAATAAAAATCGGACAAAAAATTAAACAATTTATTGAAGCAAAACTGTTCTTCAACATATTTGTTTCAAAAACTCAATTTATTTCAAATAAATAAAATATCGACATGATAATTAACGTGTAGCATTCACTCGCGATCCAACAAACATCAGTATGGATCACGATTCAAATATCACAATAAATATTGAACGTGTGACAGGCGCCAATGAGTCTCAGTAATTCGCATCTACGCGCTTTTTAACGTTTGCCATTTGTGAATAATGTATTTATCTAATGTAATAGTAATTTTTGTATGTACGCTTTATTTGGCTCGATGCCAATATTTAATTGCAGTAGATATTGTAATACATACATAATTTTTTAACATTGCTATAATTATAAATATATATTTATATACGTATGTATAATCACACGTGAGCGAAGTTTTTGAAACTGTATACAACTTATGTATGTAGATATGTAGATACTAAAATAGACTTCCTCATCGGATGAGTTTTTTTAGGTGCTTCCGCCCAGCAACTATATTCTACAATTGAAATTATTGTAGTATTATTAAAATATATTAAAATTATCGTTAAATAGCAGTAGGAGCACGTTATGAAAAATAATGGTTTTATTTTCATCAATAGCTTTTTAAAATAGTAATTCCCAATAAATAAATTCTAACGCCAGATTTATGCTACTGACAGTAAAAGGATAAAATAATCAAAATTGACACAGCTATCAGTGGTATCATTATATTGAGCTTGATATTTAACTAATATTCTATGAAATTACTATTTTACACACACACACACACACATTTGTTTAAATTATATTTGAAACCTAAATTGTAAAATATAATTTTATATAATTTTTTTCTCTTTGTTTCACATGATTTAATCCTTTGTTGAACATACAACTTCATAACTCTAAAAACAACAAATATTTAATTGATTTTATGTGTCCGCATATTAGTTCAAATGTCATATCAACTGATAACAGCAAACTGTTGTAATCGTTAAGGGGTTATTACATGGGTTTTGTAACTTAAAATAAAGTGATTTTCAGATAGTTTTGTTTTTTTTTTTGAAGCTACAATATTAGTATTTTTTTTTCTTGTTACACGTATGTGTATATAATGTCAGCATCATGTACAAAAATTTGCATAAAAAAATATTGTAAATTCAGCCGTTGACAGTAACTAACGTCAGCGTCGAAGAAGTGTACTTACGTTAGTCACTGTAATTGAAGTAATTTTTATCTGAAATCAAAATACCAAAAGTTTTTTTTAGTAGTTGAGCATAGCTACTGCTGGAACGAAGGATTTTAAGAAAACTTGGAATTTTGTTTTGCATTTTTCGCAAATTATATGCACTTTTGCACTAAATTTGGTCACGTATTACCATCTCAACTGAATTGTAATTGATAAAATCAGTAGTCAAACATGTTTAAAAGATGCATGTAAAATTTCACGCGAATCGGTTCATATATATATAATATATTTGGCAATTTGGCTCGCATCGGCTTGAAATTTTCGGAAAATGTTCTTAATGAGTTTTACAATTGAATAAATAAAAAAAATCGATTTTTTTTTGTACGTTGCAAGACCAATGTAACCCCTTAACCACGAAAATCCGTCTCCGTTTCTCCAGCTCACAGTTATAAGCCGTTTAGCTTTAGCTGACTATTCCGGATTCCGCGTTAAGCGTCCCGGCCTTCCCATGCTTAGAAATAAAAAAAAGAATGAATTGAATAAAATTGTGTTGCTCTCTAACCTATTAAATGTCGCGATTTTTAATGAATTATAATAAGGAAAAAATCGATGACTAAAAAAACCGTGCCGGATTTTGCCGGGAAAAATATGGTCACCTAAGTTTTGCCGCATATTCACATACGAACAACAAATAAGCCCAACTACTCTCTAAATTTTACTAGTCTCATTATATTTTATTTAAATTTCGCTAATATAATGCAAATTTTTAATATATACATAATTTTCAGAAATGAAACAAATATTGAGGATAACATTTGGGCTGGTATCTTGTGTGCGGTGTTTTTCTTCTTAATCATCTCATTATTGGCATTCCCAAACGGTCCATTCACCCGTCCACATCCGGCAGTATGGCGTATTATATTCGGCTGTTCGGTGTTATATCTGCTAATGCTGCAGTTTTTCATGTTTCAAAATTACAAGACGATCATGAATATATTCTATTGGCTGGATCCGAAATTGAAAGACTTTCACATCAACATGGAAAAGGTTAGTGCGTCATGTAACAGCAAATAGCAAATAAATAAACATGATTTCTTTTTTGTTTTTTTTTAGGAATATGGTGCCAATTGCTCAGACCTTAGCTTTGATCGCATTTACAGCACAATCGACGTATTCGCATGGGGACATTTTCTCGGCTGGGCCTTTAAGGCTGTGCTCATACGTCACGCTGGCATTTTGTGGGCCATCTCCGTCATGTGGGAGATTACAGAAGTCACTTTCGCGCATTTGCTGCCGAATTTCGTTGAGTGTTGGTGGGATGCGCTCATTTTGGATGTGCTCATTTGCAATGGCCTAGGCATTTGGGTGGGTTTGAGAATTTGCAAAGCACTTGAAATGCGCGAATATAAATGGGCGAGCATTAAGGATATCTCATCGACTACGGGTAAAATTAAGCGTGTTGTATTGCAATTCACACCAGAAAGTTTCACATCGATACGATGGCTGGATCCCAAGTCGACAGCGATGCGTTTTGCGGCTGTGTGTCAGCTGGTTATATTTTGGCAGGTATTTTCACACATTTCTTTCGGAGTTCGAATTTATAGTAAAAGTTTACAACAAAATTTAATAGGTGACTGAACTGAATACATTCTTCCTTAAGCATATTTTTGAAATGCCACCAGATCATTATCTTGTCGTTGGACGTCTGGTATTCATTGGTCTCTTCGTAGCGCCCTCAGTGAGGTAAGCAAACATTGCTATTTTATACAAATCTCTTTGCATTTTTCAACATTTTGTATTTTTGTTTATTTATTTTTATAGACAATACTACACTTATGTGACGGACACGCGTTGCAAACGTGTTGGTACCCAATGTTGGGTGTATGGCGCTATTATGGTCTCAGAAGCAATACTTTGCCTAAAGAATGGCAAAGAACTCTTCGAACGTACTCAAGGCATTAATATTGTCTTGTGGCTAATTACACAAGTTATCTTATCCGTGGCCTTTGTTTACGGTTGCATGTTGTGGCATGTAAGTTTGATCTGTTGCGCTTACTAACTTTCACACCTAAATTAATTATTTATTCTTTACGCTTTAGCGTGCTCAAGACAAGTATAATAAGTCAACAGAATCACCGAGCAAAAAGGGCAATGCACAAAATGCCAATAATTCGCCGAAGCACGAACAAAAAGGTGAGCTATTTAGTATGAAAATTACTTTGCTATTTTGACTCGGCAATATTTAGCGCCTGATTTTTTTGCAATGTTTAAAACTTCAAACTGCTTCGATGGTTTTTGTTAATTTTTTTTTTAGATATTGCATTACGCCTATAAATTATTTTTATAATTGTTGCTAATATACTCCGTTATTGTCATTTAAAAGTTTCGTTTGAACTACACTGTTTTTTTTGTTTAAAGATTTGAGTTTTTGTGTGTAATTTTGTACCGTTAATAATTTATTATTGCTCCATTGCACATCACTCCTTCCTATACTAATACTATATGTATTTTGGTGTATGTTAACATTTAAACTTTTCTCTTACTCACCAATTCGCTGCTTATTTGTGTCTACGTACAGACCACAACCAATTTTTGCACCTATTAAAGTTCACCTTACATCTACTACGTGCGCAAAGTCTTGATGAAGACTTAGACGATATTAAAATAAAAATTGTATAATCATAATTAATTAAATGACAAATTTGTGGAGTTATCTTGCTCTATATTTAAATGCTTTTTACGTCCGAATTTCGTTTTGCTTATTTTTGCTAACGACTTTGCTACTTTAGTATTTATTCAAAGTGTATTTGCTGCTTGTATATGTATGGAGAACTACAAATTAGTGTCTAAGCATAAACTATTTGGATTCTCTTTCTTAACGCTATTATATTTTAATATAATTTAGCTTTGTGCAGCCCTTTTTGATTTATTTTAATTTTATCTTATTTTCTTCTATTTTATAGGCAAGAAATCACCAAAAAAATCTCCAAAACGCAACATACAGAAAATTGAATAAAACTTAAAAGTCAAACCTAAACAGAAACAAACACTTAAATATAAAAAGAAACACCAAAAACAAATTAGTTAATAGCTTAGTAAATAAAACATGAAAGCCTAATTGATTACAAAAATATTACTAGAAGAAATTATGAAAACAGATCAAAATACAAAAACCATAATTTTTGAGTTATTTTTTATTATATTTCCAAAATGGAAAGCAATAATATACAATGCACGCAATTGAATGTATGTATGTACTGATAAAAGTAAGTTTAAGTCACCTAAAACCAAAATGACAAAAAGAAACTATATCAAAGTCTTTATTGACACAATAAATGAAAAAAAAAATCGAAAAATGTAAAATAAAAATTAATTTAAATGTAAGGCAACACGCATATATATATAATATATGTATCTATATATACACAATAAAAAATTAAAAAAAAAAAAATAATGTTTAGTAAATTAAAGATTGAAGGGGCACTTGAAAATGCTTAAAAGTTTAAGATATTCTAAAAAAACATATAAATATCTTTATATATAAATATAAAAAAATATACAAAATAAGTGGGAAAAACAAATATTTTGTAAATTAAAGTTTGCAGGGCTTGATAATTATAGGAAAAAAAAGCGATCTTAAAAAATTTGTAAATTTAAGTTATGTAAATATTTATTTTCAAATAAACTGCATAACACATGTTTCATACACAGCTTGCATTGTTGTAATGTAAGAGGTGTAAACATTTTTTAAAAAACAAACCAACGTTAAAAGCAAATACGCTTTCAAATCGCAAACAACTATACTCAAACGCAAATGCGCTTTAAAAAGACAAACAAATTAATTTAAGACAGGGTTTAAATATAAACTTCTAAATACAATACAATATGTATAAATATAGCAATTAGACGCTGGCTTTGTCAATATTTAAGCGCAGCATGTAAATTGTAATTAAGGATTTTTAGTAATGTTATAAAAATGAGTATGCTGAAGCTGTTTGGTCGAAGAGGAAATTTTTGCATAAGTAAATTACTATTGGGGTTAAAAATAATAAATTTACATGCTCAATTGATTATTAAATCTTTATTTTGTATTTATTTTTTAATATAATTTATTTTTATTTTTTATTGTTGTTATTAATATTATATCTTGCAGCATGTTGCTGCAAAGTATAAAAGTTTTGTGCACCTAACGGTTGTTTGCATCAACCAAAACTAATTGAGTTTGATATAGGTTTACATATATATAAATGATCAGAATGAAGCGACGAGTTGAAATTCGGATGACTGTCCCTCCGTCCTTCTGTACTTGTACTTGAATAAAAATTGATATGTCTTGATGAAGCCGTAAGACGGTTGGTATTGCAGATGGGCGTAATCAGACCACTGCCACGCCTACAAAACGCCATTAATCGCAAACCAGTAAATTGTCATAACTAAGCTCCAAAATAAGTTACATGGCTGTTATTTGTTATAACAAATTACATTAGGAAGGGAATGTGCAGTTAAATTTTTTTTTAAATGGGCTTGCATCCCGCAATCTAATAGGTTTAATGTGCATATCTTCTAAATAATAACCAAAATCACTCAAGACAAATATTTTTAGCACTCCTACCGGCTGTGTGAAAATGGGTGAAATCGTGTGATAACGCCGCCCACTACCCATATAACGGTTTTGATTAAAACTACTAAAAGTGCGATAACTCATTAAATAAATTAGTCAGAGACCTTTAATTTTATACACAGAATGGTACAATTAAGCTTTACAGGAGCCAAAACATAAGTTGGCGAGGGACGTGGCACTGCCCATCTTTAGCGAAAAACCCATATCTCGGGACCTGCTCGACCGATTTCAACCATGTATGTTCGGTATGTAACTTTTTTCTATGCTACAGTCCGAAATCGGATTACAACCACGCCTACTTCCCGTATAACAGAATTTCAAATTCCACCTTATTCTCTTACTTTTAATAATTACATATGCCAAAAATGGGTTGAATCGGGTCAATACTTTCCTTAGCCCCCATATATCTAATGTAAAGATTTTTGAACTTCCGGGGACTTTATATCGCATATATCAGCCAATATGTGAGTTATCTCAATGAAAATTAGAGTACGTATTTTAATCATAACAGTGTATATTTGTGTCAAAAATGGATAAAATTGTGCGAAAACTTGACCTAGCCTAGTATAACTAACATCAGGATTTTCGAAAATTCGGCTGCCTTTACTCCATATGATTGGTGATGGTATGTGAGGTACCTTAATGAAACACTGGGATCATTTTATTAGTGTTATTAGTTGTGGCATGTTAGTAGTATGTAGGATGGGCAAAAATTGATAAAATCGGGGCAATACTACATCCAACTCCCATATGCTACTTATAATGATTTTCGTTATTATAACACGTTTTATGCCGAATATGTTGGTCAATGAGTACTATTCATATATAAAATTGTTTCAAAATATGCTCTCGAGTATACCTGAGCAATGTCAAAATCAATCCAATCAGCCATATAATGATTTCCGTCTTTCCACCTGACTTTTATCCGTTTAGGTTGGCCAAAATGTGTGATATTTTAATAAAAATTAATTGGACAAATTTTCTTAAAAATTATGTAGTTTAGCGCTGAATTAGATAGGAATTGGTCTAGACCTTGGTCTAAACCTCTCATCCCTAATATAATGAATTCTGATTTGACGTTTTCCACATCAACTCAATACATATTAAATTTAGCCTTTCGGTCGAGTTGATATCACATGTACATACCTCATTTAAAGGTGTTTTAAATATAATTTTAGCTGACGCGAACTAAAATATAGCAATAAAATATATGGCCTTCAATATATATAAGTCAAGAAGATACCAAATTTGATTGTAATTTATTCACGATTTCATCGAATAAAGATGTTTAATGCTTTCGCAATTTTTTTTTAATATAAAGTTTTGCTAACAACTGTAGGTATTACCCCGGCTTTCATTCTTGCAAGTAACAAGAGTATAAAATGTTCGGTTACATCCGAACTTAGTGCTTCCTTACTTGTTTTTTTTTTTTTTTTTGATGATATAGTTAGAAAGTGAATACATTTCAGGTACTGTACTTATTTAGTGTTAATTTTTCAATAATAACGAAATAGCAAAACATAAATTACAATTTTTTAATATTTTACACTACAGCATGAGTGTTATATATAATTATATTAAATAATATCAATAAAGTAAATTTAAGCCGACTGTATTTGTTATTGAAAAACAATAGAGAAAAATGTTCAAATTACCATATAAAATAACACAAAGGCAACTAAATTAATAAAAAAAATATAAAAAAATAGATTTGTTATATACCATAGAGTTAAAACAAAAAATTATAAATGAGTATCTAAATGTAAAAACTATACATGCAGCAAGGAATGCGTAGAAACGCGTTTAAACTGACACACACTAAATGTCGGATTTCTGGAGAAGTGTGCTTTCGCAATGATATTTCGAAATTTTAAAAAATAGCTAATTAATGTAAAATAATTATAACTGCTAATATGTCACGCTATAGCTGATTCAAACGAAATTCCAAATGACATGCAAGTCGCATATTACAATTTGTTATTGGAGTCTCGTTAATAGAATTATAAAAAAAACTTTCAGGTGTTAGAATAAATTCAATAATAAATTTCATATATTATGAAATGCAAACATGTTTGTACTGTAACCAAAGTTTGTCCTTAATTTAGTTTAAGTTCGACTCAAAGTGTTCGTACTTTCGCAAAATAGTCATAGATAAAATAAATATTTCGTTTAGAAACTAAAATAAATATGATTTTAACTGAAATATGTGAAACATAATTTTAATGTAAGTCATTAATTTTCACTGGAAAATAAATAAATAAAACCTATTTTTCTTAAATGTGAGAGAATACACTTTTTATTACAGCAATAAAAAAAAAGTATGCATATATGATTTATTTTCCTAAATGCTATGTTGGATTTTTGCTGCTACTTTTACTCTTTGCTAGTGCTAGTTTAAAAACATATACTGTTTTAGGTTTTAGTTTTAAGTTTTTATTATTATTATTAATACAATTAGATTTATCAAAAATATACATAAATACATATGAATAAAGCATTTTGTAAATATCAGTGTAGGTTTTATAAAGTTTAGTTTAGCTTAAAATTATGCCAATTGTCATAATGAATCGTATATATATTTTAATGAGTTGATATAATTTATAAGACAAGTTAATGAAAATGCTTCAAATTTTCATTTTCTGCATAACAAATAATTAAGTTACATGCCATTTATGGCATGGCTTTGGGTTGCAGCATATGCCACATACATACATGATAGCCAAACCTGTTACATTTTTAGCAACTTATTGATATTCAATTAGATTTTAACATTTAAGTTTTGTAGGCAATGCTAAACTGAACTGAAAAGCTTGCTGTAAAATAGCAAATAATGATAACAAGCAAAGTCAACACAGCAAGTAAATACTGTTTCTCAGAGAATAGGTTCTTCTACGCTTGTTCGTTCTAGAACATTAAAATTTCGAAAAATAAATTACCGCTATATATGTATGTATAACAAATGTGCTTTTAACGATTTACAACATAATAAAAAATGTAAACCATATATGAGGTGTAAATGCTGATTAGCTAAAGGTATACATTTCTAGCAATTAAATTGAATTTTACTTCCAGAGTAAATTAATTTTTAAATAATGAAGAACTTTCTGTGTACTAGCAAATTATATTAATGTAGATAGCTTTATACGAGTACTTGCTGTCTTTGCACCAAAATACAATTTAATAACTTGTTGCTTACACATCAAGGCAAGCAGAGACGGTTTTCTTTACGGCATCACGCGCATATGGTATGTAGGAGAGGGAATACCAGGTCATAGCTAATGATTGAATGATGATAAAAATTAAAGTCAGTCCGGCTTTATGAAGCTGTGTTGTTAAAGAAAAGAACAAAAACAATTCTAATAAAACCGTTTAAAATAATAAAAAGAAAAATATAAATATACCACAACAGCAGCTATAAAGGTCATAACAATGGATACAAGTACTATGCAAGTGGCTATTAAACGTGTGGATGAGAACATTTTTTTTATTTGATTAACAGGACCCATAAGAAAGCATGTACTGAAATTGAAATTATACGTATAAAAATGTATATATCTATGTACATAACGTATTGCATTTAGAGCGTAAATAACTTGTAGATTACATACCTAGCCATTGATATTATATTACCAAGCGTATAAAAGACCGCAAACACAACAATGCCTCTGTGTAAAAAGAGGGCCAGCGAGCCGAGAAACGACAGTAAGATGCCAAGTACGAAGCAAATGCAAAAGCCTTTGATGCGTGTCGACCAGCTAAGCGTTGACATCTCATTAATCTATCAAGAACAGTTCGCGGTGTAAATACAATATATTCCATTGATAAGCATGAGGTTTAAAACAATAGCTTCAAATAAAAGTACGATATTTGCAATAGCTTAGGCGTATAACAGCATATTGACCCTATTTTTCTATAAATACATCAACAAAAAACGCCCACTATATTCCCTGTATCATGTTTTTAGTAAATATTTAGATATTTCTGTAAATCGTTCGAATTATTACAATTAAATTAATAAGCGAACACTTGTTGCGTCAACAGCTGCTATTGCAACAGGCAGACTTTTATAACATATCAATGCAAATATTACCACGAAGCAATTATATGGTGACCCGCTATCTTGTTATTACAATTTAATAGGCTAAATTTAAATACATAAACTAAAACTTTAAATTTACATGCAATATGATATGTTACCTGTGTGATTATGCTACTCTCCTCCTCCGGGGTGGAATCATTTCCGTTCAGCACTCTACGCAATTTATCCATTTTATTATTAATTAATTAAAAGCTTATGCGATTTATTTTAAAATTGGATCTCGATGAAACGCAAATAGCAACACGTATAATTAAAAAACAAAACCGAATATAAAATTACAACAAAACAAAAAGAAATTACCGAGAAGAAACAATCGCTTCTGATTGATATGTCACTTTACATATGTAAATACGCACATACATATTTCTGTTTGAAATGTCATAACAGTGTTGCTGTTTTACTGTTTTTTTTTTTATAATATTCATTTATTTCATAGATGTACCAGGGAATGTAAACTATAATTTACAATTTCATATATTATAATTTACATTCTCTGCTCTGGATGTATATATGTTTTATTAACTACTAAACGTTAAACCGTAACATGCTGTTATTTACAACACTGTAGTAGACATAATTCAATTCACCAAGTGCATCGCAAACATATGCGCACATGTCCTTCAAACGTCAAAAACAGCTGATTCTTGTTTTGATAAAATAGAAAAATGTTAATTTTAAGAAATTTAGGTTTTGTAACCAAAGTTACGAAAACTGATGTCAATTTATTAAATAATGTTTCAAGAGTTGTAAGAGAGCTGCGCAGTCAAACAAGGCAACGACCTGATATACGTGTTTCTAAAGAGGTAGATGAGGTTAATACTAAGCCTAACGCACAAGTTACGTATGACGAACAACATGCACAAACTGGCATTACGGAAGCAGTAAATAAATATTTAAAAGATGAACTAAGACAGATTGAAAATACTCAGTTAGATGATTCTAACGTTACCAATAATGATGCTACCCAGAAGGTAATTAAAAATGTCAGTGCTGAAGAGGCCGATGATAATGCATTGTCCCTTGGTGAGGCTAAGGAAGATTATGTGCCCACTTTCAATTTAGCAGCATATGTGAACAAATCGCCAACTTTACAGCAATTTATACAATTAGGCGTTGATTTGCATAGCATCGAAAAACGCAAGGGTTTGGCCAAATTTGTGTTGGGTTTAGAATTTGAAAAGGATGTGAAACCTTATCTGTACTTTCTGCAAGATCAAGGCGTGTCACCCGATATATTTGGTGAATTCATTACCAAAAATCCATTGTTTTTCAAAATAGATTTAGATGATTTGCAAACACGCGTCAACTACTTGGAATCCAAAAATTTTACGCCCGATCAAAGACAACGTATAATTACTCGCAACCCTTTCTGGCTGATGTTCTCTACGCGACGCATCGACCAACGACTGGGTTATTTCCAAAAAGAATTTCGTTTAAACGGCGATGATGTACGCTTTTTATCATCGAAACAACCCCGTCTGATAACATATAATATGGAACACATACGCAAATCATCCTTTTGTATACGAGAAGAGATGGGCTTTGATAAAGACGAACTTAAATGCTTATTATTGAACAAGCCACGATTATGGATGATGAGTGAGTTCATTGCCACATTTCGCTGTCTATATATTCTTTCACAAATTTGTAAATGTTTTTATATTTTTTAGACTCAGATCTTCTCATTGAACGTTTTGCTTTTGCCCACCAAACTATGCAACTATCGCATGATATGTTAATACAATTCCCGGAAGTACTTTCATCACGTGAATTTCGTTTGCGACAGCGTCACGAGTTCCTTGTAACACTGGGTCGCGCACAATATGATCCTGAGAAGGATTTATATATATCTCCAAGAGATTTGGTCAGTGGAAACGACTATCAATTTGTGCGAAATGTCGCTAAGAGTGATCTGGAAACTTACGAACTTTTCCTTAAGACGAGATAGTTATGTATGCATATATAAACTAAAATAAAATGTTAATGTTAGTATACAAAAATTTTATTTGTTTTTTTATACCCTGAACAGGGTATATTAAGTTTGACACGAAGTTTGTAACATCTTAAAGAAAATGTCGGAGACCCTATAAAATAGATATATAAAATATCAGCGCGTCCCGCTGAGCCTATTTAGGCATATCGATTAGAATGTATATACGGGAACTAATTCCTCACTTTCCAAGATATCGTCCTTTTCACCCCAACAAGATGCTCATTTGTCGGAACACAATATGAGTGAACTGAACAATCAAAATGAAGTACTTGTGAGGAAAACTTTTTTATTTGACGAGATATCCAAATTTGGCATATATTATTGTTGTTGTTATTGTTGTAACGACAGAGACAGAATCCTGAAGTAATTTCGATAAAAATACGGATCCGTTCCGGTTACTTAGACCCTAATATCAAGGGAACGGTCATAAATTATTATCTAAGGCGACGCTACAATTACCGAATAAATCTTTCAGATCGGAACACTATAACTTCCATACAAACTCAACAAACAAAATCAAGTTCTTGTATGGAAAACTCTTTTATTTGCTAAGAAATATTTTTACGATATGCTTCAAAATATATTGTACAAAGCTGCGCTACAATGTCCGAATGCAGTCGAGTAATAGTGCTTAGCCGCATAAAATCCAGGTTCGTTGCCGTTACGGTGATGCCACTGTCGTCAGAACGGTTTCTAAATACATTTAACAGTACCTCAACACACTATTTGATTTTCATAAAATTGCGGTACACAATTTAAAACGCAAAAACTTTTCCCTTATTATAAATCGTATTTAGTAGATTTTATTACATTCTTATATTTTGCCATTTGTCGTTTCTTTATTATATCAAAAATGTCTATAATATATTTAATAATATAATTATGCATATACATAGGTGTGTAAATATATAAATATATGTATATATTAGTTATATGTACGAAATGTATGTATGTATATAAGGAAAGGGTTTTGTATGCGTAACGGTTTTAATTTAATTTCGTATGTTTTATTAAATTCAATTGCATTTTTTTTAATTTTTAAAATAAAATTATAACGTTTTGTTTTTTTTTTATTTTGCATAGATATATGTATATATATTAAAGGTATATGTATTCAAAACATTGAGGTTATTACCCCCGTCATACTTGAACTAAAAGCTAGAAAAAACAAACGCGTTCTGGTGGTACTGGTAAACTCGACTAAGGCGAGTACCAAACATACTACAATTGTAGGTACAAATATACAGATAAGTATATAAATATGAAACATAGAATATTTTTAATGAACCGTTAACTATTAAAATTATTAAAAAATTAAGTCTACATATAATGCGGCGTAAACGATAAAGTAAAAGGAGCAACATATTGCGAGCGCAAACATATTAAATAAAACATTTCCGTGGTTCGACACGATATTTTAAACTTTAGCAACAAGTGGTAAAAATAATAATAAAAACGTTTTATGAGATAAGAAATTGTTTCAAATATGCATATAATATTTATGTTTTACATTTATTTTCCGCTTTACTACTAAAATATGCTACATACTAGTTTCTAGTGCATTCTTTTTGTTACACTCATTGTTTTATTTTCATCGTAAAACCATTAAAATAGTTTAGTTGTATTTATTTAATAATAAATGTTGTAAAAAAGTTCAAATACAAAGCACTTTCGTAAGAATAATAAATCGCATTTTAAGTTTGAAAAATTCGGGATAATATATGTAATAATAAAAGACCTGAGCCCACTCTTGTGTCGCACGTTTCGATCAGTTAGTACATTTTAAATAGATTTGTATATATTTTTTGTATTCTTTTGATATTCAAAAATTTAAGACGCATGTGTGATTTGTAAAATATTTTTGTAAGCTTATTTTCAAATCCACCGGCCACTCAGCTGACCAATGACAAGCGTTAAAAACAAACCACACAGCATTAATTTTACTAGTCATTACATTTTCACAATTAAATTACTTTCCATAACATTGCAATATAAAATGTAATTCGCTTTCATTATCTGCAATGATTATCATAGCAGTCGCACAACTTACAAATACTGCAATATGTGCAGTACACGTTAGTATGTGTGAATGTATGTATGAAAATTGTTTTTATTAGAATACACAAATAAAAATTTAAGAAATGAAAAATTATTTGCTTATCTTCTTAATACCATATCAGATGTGCATTACGCGTATTCTTTGTTATAAATATCTCCACCGTTTTTTTAACTCTTCTTTTTTTTTTTGTTGGTATGAAAATATGTTTATTTCTTTTAATTTCTTCAGCGTTTGTTAGCTCCTTAATATTTTTTAATTACATCTCGTATTTATTTTAATTCTTCAATTTTGTATTTTTTACAAATATTTATATGTTGTTAATATATCTTTTGTTTTCGCTCCTTTTTTGCTTTTACATTTCGCTCCGTTTTAAATTATAAAATTAGAATAATATGTATATAAATCACTTTTCTTTAACATTCAGTTCAGTCAATGACGACTCGGGTCAAGAGAATGCCACGTTTGCTGAGCCACAAGCTGGGAAAAAAATTAAATTTAATATACTTTCTCACTGCATAATAAAAAATATAAAATGGGTGTGTATGTTATGCTTACCCTAGTCCAGCGCCCAATAGCAAGGATAGTACATTTGAAAGAATGAGCGAGTATAGGATTTCTCTGGAAAAGAGCGAATTCTTGCCTACACGTGTCAAACGTATGGAATAACCAGCGCTCTTTTTCTTTTGTGGATGTTCGAATTTCCAATCTCTGCAGAATTAAATGAACAATTATTGAAATTAAAATTTAAAGAATGTGTGCCAATATATTTATATTTTAAGCTAAACTTTAACTTTTGAGGCATCTACCTTCAATTGCTCTAAACTATCTACCATATATACGAGTATGTTTTTAGTAAAATTCAAGTTATCTACAGAAAATTTTTTTTCTCACACATACTTTGGTGGTTGTTGATCCGGTCGACTGTTCCATTCATCCAGCCAATCGGTGTCTTTGTGACTATCGCCCTCCTAAAATGAGTACATACAGACATAATGAACATTAATGTTTTAAATGGCTTATAGTTAGTGCAACAAACCTTGCTCCAATAATTTATGTAAACATTTTTGAGATCTTCGTCAGGTGTGAGTTCGGTATTAGGACTGTTTGGTGGTGATTTTGGGCTATAAAGAGCATAAATACATATATTTTAAAGAAAATAATGATTAAAAAATTGTATGCTAGGCACACACCTATCCCTGGGTGTATCACGTCGCGAGCTGGCTAGGGAGACAACACGACTGGATTGATTTGATTCGCGTTGCGCCTCGCGCAGCAAACGTAAATATTCCTCGCCACTTGCGAAAGGCAATGGGGTGATTCTGTCGGGGCTCTTCACGCCAGCCATTGTAGCGGCACTGCTCAGCTCAATCCAAGATTCTAAAAAATATTGATGAAAAGTTTGGAAATGAGTAAAATTTGAATTTTTATTTCAAATTATATTATTATTTACAATAAATATAGATCCTACACTTTTTTTAAAACCAGCGTATAGTTAATGCGCACAATTGCCACTATTTCAATGTGAATTTATCAACAAAAACAAAAGAAGTGTTAAATGCTAGCAAAACTGCAGCAAACAAAGAAACTGAACGCAACAACAAGTAAATAGAAAAAACTCGTAAACACAAAAACAGCGAGTGCTCTTTGTGCGAATTTCAACGAAAACGGATACACGATATATAGCCAGCCGCACCGCAATAAATTCACTGACTGACTGAATTATCTGTTGTCTGCTGACTGACACTCTAATGGAAACGCTCTCCAACACCAAGGCGGCTTATCATAAAGACTCAAGATTGGTCTCATATACAATCACAATATTTCATAAATTACAGCGGCTGACTGACGAGCCACCACAGAATGACTAACTTCCATATATTTGCGCAGGTAAACAAATTGGTGTGGAGGTAATGGAACGTCAACAGCAACAAAGGTGGTAAACAATATTGAAAACAAACGCAAAACAGTACTCGCAGATAGAGGAAAACAAATAAATGTATATATATACAGATATGTATATACAATAAATAAAAAGTATAAAGCGCTAACACAAATGTACTGAGTAAATATAATAATTCACTCGAACAAATGAGTAGAAATGTTTTAACATAAAAGACGCAATTGCATATAAAGTTAATGAAATATATATGTATATATACATACATATGTATTTACATGCATAGTATATACTTGTATAGCAGACGTAAACAAACGCGAGCTCGTATCTACTAGCAATATACGAGATACAAACCTATGTATAAAAGAAAAAATACCAGCAATTTTATTCATAACAAGTAAAAACGTTTACTTCGATTGCAGTTGGTATGACTATTGTATATGCTATTTTGTTCTTATCTTAACGATACGTATACTCGGAGATTGTAGCGTTGCCTTTAACAATAATGTATGCCAAATTTCATGAAGATAATTTCACAAACAAAAAAAACTTTTCCATACAAAAACTGGATTTTGAGCGATCACTTTGTTTAGTAACTACAAGTATATGCTATAGTGGTCCGATATAAACCAATTTTTCGCAGATTGTACCGTTGACTTGGACAATAATCCATGCCAAATTTCGTGCAGATATCTTGTTAAATAAAAGAGTTCTTCAAAACTGAAAGATTAGTTCGCGTATATACAGACAGACGAACATGTCTATATCGACTCACGTTACCCTGATCATTTCTATACATACATATATGCATGCATTTATTTTACAGCGTCTTCAAGGTTTCATTCTGGGTTTTAGGGTATACCATAAAAACAGAAACAGAAAAAAAGTACAAAAAAAAAATTGGTTAATTTTTACTTTTATACTCTCTTAATATTATTACGAAACTCAATTATGATATACGTATATTATCAATTACTTATTATAGGCTCTAATTTGGATGCAATAAGTAAGCGTTCTACACAAATTTCCGATTATTTTCATGTCAAGAAAAAGTAACGCTGCATCTATTCTATCTATCATTCTATCAGTTGCGTCTAAAATTTTTAGAATCTTACGTTTGTCGGATAATATGAAAGCGCACACGAACTCGGCAGAAATCAATTAGACACACATATGTATGTAATAACACATGTAAATAACATCAGCTGATATTCTGTACTAAGAACTATTTACTAGTTTATTTATATATTTAAATATATGTACATAAAGTAGCTTTGGAACTATGAATAGTGAGGTAATACCAGACAAGTAAGCGAATAATGATATTGAATGAAAATATACACATAACATATGTAATCACAAGCACAACTGCTGATTATATAGAAGCGAATGCTAATTGTAAATAAACACAATAAACTATCAATAAAGCAAGTCAAATAAAATGGAAAATGAAGTTTAGGAAAATAGATGTGGGTATGGTGAAACACAAGTGCAAAATTGTAAAAAAAAAATGGCACATTGTGGTCAAAAACCCCAAGAAGCTATATACATATATGTACATACATATATACATACTCGTATATGCAACTTGTAGTCTAATTTTTATTAATAAAAGAGACAGACAGCAATGGCTCCTGGCTACTGTCTCCGGTCGTCATTAAATTAATATTATATTTCAATGTCGATTGTCAGTGAACAAACAAAAGGAGTCATATGCATACATACATACATATGTAGGTAACCAGACAGGAAGGCGTATAGACAGTAGAATAGACGACAATGCGCATTAAAGTCGCTGTCTTAATCAGATTTACTCACTTTCTATAGCATTCAGGATGGACAAGTTAATCATATTATTGGCTGTCAAGGACATTGAAGCTAACAACTTGAAAGGTGATGACATTATAGTCATTGTAAAAGCATAAAGAAAATATAAAAAAAAACAGAATTAAGTTGCAAAAAACAGCACAGCCCTCTACAATTGAGTAAGAAATATTTTATTATGATGCAATAAAAAACTAAATAAATAATAGTGAACACACCTTTATTTCTACCATAATAATACGCAGCAATCGTGCGTTATCGTAAGCTAATACACTAGCCAAGGCCTAAATTAAGTGTATTGGCATCATGCTTGTATTGGCTCCGCAGCATATTTTAAAGGCTATAATAAAGTATTATATACAATAATATAAGTGAAAATGTAATTTTTTTTTAGTCCGGTTTAAATTTGTAATTTTATAAATTTGTAAAATTATATAAATCATTTTGAACCAATTTCTTCTTGGCTACTTTCTTTTTATCTTTTTAACAGTGTGCAAATATCATAAATTGCACCCTAACTAGGTTAGAGCTTGCTAGAAAGAGCACATACGATGTATATGTATCTACAAAGCTAATTCTTTATTATCAAACGAAACTGCGTAGGTGGCTACAATTTGAATTTAACCGTTACAGCTTTATTATACACAAATATACTTTTGTAGATAAATCGTGCACATGCTTTGGCTTCAAACTGATATATGTATGTATGTAGACTTTGTAAATAAATAACAATTACGCTTTTCGTACCAGCGCAGTCACGAATTGTTGGTGCATTTTCGTATCAGCTGATGATGGCAGTGGTGCTAATTTAGTTTTATATTTGTTAAATGTTTTTTGCACAGTTATGCCGCCTGCCAATATTGATAAACAAGTTTAATGACCAGAAAATAAGTGCGAATAAGTTGCGTGAAGCGTTTTGTTGTTGTAAAATGTTATTAAAAGTGAGATAAAAAGAAAGTAAAGTGTAGTGTAGAATTTACATAACCAACGACCTTAACAGTGTCGAAGATTTCGATTTAATTTACGTCTCCACATGTCAACTAGTTTATGTTTGGCAGCTCGTTGTTTCCGACGAGAAAAATTTATCTGGCGAAATTTACAAAGGAAAGAAGAAAAATATTAAACAACTAGTTTTATTGAAACACTTTGTGTTTCTGCGTAATCATTGAAATAATTGGAGAAGTGTTTTGGGGTGTCTACTTTATCACGAACATAAATATTTGAGTGGCACAAATCATTTAGTGAAGGTCGTCAAAAACTAGCCTAATGAGAATCATTTGTCAAAGAAGATAACATCGAAAAATATAAAGAAGCAAGTCTTCAAAATCAATCGATTGGCATCAGAGAGATAGTAGAAGAACTCGACATTTCTTGGCGATCGATAAATTGTTTGCAAAAATTGATGACTGAGGATTCTAGATACATCAATTTACTATCAACATTCGCTCAAGGCACTGTAGGCCATCCCAGCTGCGGCTTATAACAAGTTCATGGAAAATTGGACTAGGTAGGTAGGTAGATAGAGTGGCTGTCTAACGACGCACTTAGGCCTATAGGAGGCCCATTGTGATACCACCATGACTAATCTTCCCTCACTCTATCGTATTCCCTCTGAACCAACCTGTGCTTCTGATGAAGATTTATATTAAAAAACATGAAAATGTAATTTTGTTATCAGTACGGTTCAGATAATATTTTGTCATACAATGTGTCACAGTGTAAACGAGCCATTATTACTTTTACTTAAAACAGTAATATTAAGTTTGTAAACTCTTAACTACCATGATTTATGAAATTTATTAAAACCTGAATATGTCGTCATTACCAATTACAATCAAAGTTTATCTCGATTGATATGAAATAATAGTTAGATCACACTACACTGATTATTTATGAATGTACTAAGCTTTTATTGTAAATAATATCCGCTGTAAAGTGGTAATGAAAAAAAATCGTAAAATATTATTTAAAAAACCAGTATCGCAAGAAAAACTGGGTAGGCGAGTAAAACTAAGTATAGATTAATATTATAATTCTACACATATGCAAATTTTTCACATATGGCTAATTTTTAAAAGGCTTTACTACAAAACAGTCATGAGACAACTGTAAGCGATCGTAGCATCAAGGACAACCACTGCGCTGAAGAACAAAAAAAAACAGGATTTTCATACAAAGTGCCACGCTAATTGCGCATGCACAAAAGCCACGTTGACAAGCCGAAGCATACTGGCATGGTCGCGGCCAGTTGGTAATAAAACAGCATTCTTTATCTACGATTCGCGTGGTTGCAAAAAACAAAAACATAATAGTTAAAACATTTTTTGCTTCCGAATGGTGTGCAAATGTATACGCTGTGCCTACAGACAGTATAAAACAAAATCACTTCCATTAATTTATACAGCTACTATTAAAGCATATCATTTAAGTAGAGTCGCTTCGCAATACTATATGCATACTGCCAGTATACAGGTTGGTTGAAAAGTTTCCGCGCTCAAAATAAAAAAAATAAGAAATTTTATTCAATATAATCTTCCTTAACTTCAATACACTTATTCCAATGATTCTGCAATAATTTTATGCCATTCTTATGACTTCTCGGCAGCTCTGCAAATAGCTTCTTCATTCGACGAAAAACGCTTTCCACGAAGGAGTTGTTTCAGTTTTCTGAAGAAGTAGTAATCGCTGGGAGCCAAAGCTGGTTAATACGGTGGATGCTCAAGCAATTCGTTCTTTAATCCGTTGAATTTTGGCATTGTTAAAACACCTTTGTGAGCATGACCATTGTCTTGTTTAAAAATGTTTTTTTTTTGTGCTGCAAACCAAGAGCTTTCTTACGAATTTTTTCATATCCGGCTGATCCAAAATGCTGCAATAATATTTAGAGTTGATTGTTTTACATTTCTGCAGATAATCAATCAACAAAATTCTTTTTGCATCCCAAAAAACTGATGCCATAACTGTTCTTTGCTGATCGTTGTGACCTCACCTGCTTTGGAGCTGAACAACCAGCTTCAGTCCAGTGTAAACGTTCTGGTTTCAATTTAGGATCATGGTGGTAGGTCTCATCTATAGTTATAAACCGACGAAGAAATCGGTTTTATTCTGCTTAAAACGCTCCAAATTATGCTGAGAAATTTATTTTCGATCCAGTTTTTGTTGAATTGTTAAATTGTTTCCGAACAGCTTTTTCATATGATATTCTCCGTCTAAAAAATGAAGTACTCGTTGTCCTAGGTGCCTATGGCATTAACAATTTAACGTTTAGTCAAGCTTGGATCTTTACTAACAATATTATGAACTTGTACAATGATTTCTGGTGTGGTTGCGGTTTCGTCGTCCTTCGCCTAGTATGTCCACGTGTAAATTCACCAGCCCAAAATTTAATGGTGCGTTTCAAAGGTGAGGACTCCTTATACACGTCTAACAATTGTTCATAAATTTCCTTTGATTTTAAACCTTTCAAAACAAAGAATCTAATCACTGCGAAATGTTCAATTTTTTCCATATTAAAAATAATACTCTGACACGTCGACTTCAAATGGCTTGCAAACAAAGAATTAATTGACAGAATGACTTGTAACTTTGCATGTGTTCTCACGACAGATGTACCAGCTTGAGAGCCCACTTTTCAGCCAACCTGTATATTAAATATAAGTATAAATATCATATGTGTATTGTTATCTCAAGTATTATTTTATACGGCGTAAGCCAGAGTGCAGTAACTTTTGCACAGAGCTCAATGCCATACAACAAAAGCACGGCGATCAACCCGGGCCAGCAGGCAAGCACGCAAGGCGAGCGACACAACAAATCATTTGGCAGACAACGATGCACCGATTCACACAAGAATCTGCATATATGTATGTGCTCGTGCCCCCCGACATTCAGTCAATTAAATGTAGACTAAAAACTCTCTTTGTTGGCGTTGGTTCTTTGTGCGTGCCCACTATTTTTAGTTGTGTTCTTTTTTTGTGAATTTATTTTAAGCATTTAGCATTTTTATAAATTTAGCATGTAAACGATTGCTGTTTTAAATTGAAATTTATATATGGGTGGCACAAGGCAGTATGCGTTGTGGGTCAGCGGATGCCACAATTTAAGCTTAGATATGTGAATGCCACACGTTGTTGCACACATTGATAAGAATGTGCGTTTTCGCTACTTGCAGCATAAGTTTTTTAATTGCAAACTTAAGCATTAGAAATAAATTTTTTACATGGAAGCTGCTCTCAGTTTTGCTTGTGAAAACTATAGTCGGAAAACAAGACTGTAATTTTTGCAAAATTAAAATGGGAACTGAGTAATTTACGAACCTACGGTCCTTAACCTTCAAAATATTGGTTTATTTTACTTATTTACTAATCATTCAATTTTGATTAAATGTAATTGAAAAAAAAACTATATTTTCGTAAGTTCTAAGTTTCATAACAGAGAGATATTTTTGTTAATCACTTTTTGCGTAAAAATACCGTCCGATCAAAATTTACTCGGACTGAAAGTTACATTTCCGCGTATTTTAATAGAAATCTTTATTGTCGGCTTCAAAATAGGCTCCTAAGCCAATACAAGAATGCTAACGCTTAGTCCAATTATTTATACACTTGTTATAGGTCTTGGCTAGAATGACCGTCAGTGCATTTAACGAATTTTGATTTTCTTCAGTTTCGGCACATTTTCGACCACCATTCGTTTGCTTATTGGACAGTTTCGAAGTCAAATTCATAAGTCCACGTCTCAACACCAGTAATGATGCGTTTGAGTGATGTAAGGTCTACAGCTACGTTGTCCAGTAACTCTTTTGCCACGTATTTCAGTTTTGGTAGGAGTCTAACATTGACACTCTTCATTCACAAAACATTAACCAAAAAAATATGGAGTCGTTCGATAAGCGTTGTTGAGATCCTCTGCTATCGCTCTGATGCCAACCAACGTTGATTCTTTAACTTTCTCGATGTTATCGTCATTAGCAGAGGTGAATAGATGACTTGCATGAGGCAAGTTTTCGATGTCTTCACGACTTTCGATGCATGCTTTGTGTCGCTCAAATACTTATGTTTGTGATAAAGTAGACGCGCCAAAACTCTTCTACAATCGATTCCGTAGCTGCGATTCCATTGAAAACACAAAATTTCAAACTTACAATACGTTGTTCATATTTTTTCGGATTGCGCTCGCAGTTTAAATGGACCTGTCCGGGTCATATTTGATAGGATGAAAATCAGTGCAGTATGAAAAGCTTAAGTATAAACACACATACATACATATACTCTAGGCTACCGTTATCTTATTCGCGTCTTGCGTCAGCTAAAACATTCTATAAATACTTAAGCCAACAGCATCAGTTATTATGGGAACTAATTATTTAACAGTACACTGTATGTAACGGATACAATCGCCGACTGGAATCGCTAATAATTACCTTACAATTTTAATTATAGTAATAAATTTCAAAAAGAAATAAAAAAAAGCATAATATTTATGTAGGTATGCACAATCTAACATGTGATTGGTCTTCCAACGAAAAAAAAAACGCAAATTTCACACTACGAACTAATGAAGGGTTCAAACAGTTGTACCACAGCATGGCAGTCAAGCGTAACGAAAAATACATATGCACGATGTATGTACTAATAATAAAAACGCGCAAAAAAGGAACTTGATTGCAAACAAAAGGGGAATAAAAGGGCTGGGAGCGTTAGCGGATTGACGAGTCGGTCGATAGACATGCTGTCACGCTACTGCAAACCATATGTGGCGCAGCCCAGTGAGCTAACACATCTATGAATATGTATGTATGTCTGTATGTAGTAGCAGCTCTTAACAGCTCACTGATATATGGATGTGCTTTTGTATACATGTTTGTTTAAGCTCACAGCGTCTTTTATTACATTAGAGCCATGATTATGGCTACTAGAAAGGCAACTACTCACGCGACGAGTGAGAAAAATGTCTGCAGCCCTATTTGGTAAGTTGCCGTTCGATGGAGTGTGAGACAGATGTTGGTACAATAATCACATTGGGCGAAGTAGAAACTGGGCAGACATACACTCGAGACATCATTGAAATTAATGAGAAGAAACGGCTGTGTTATGAAATGTTACATATATAATTCAAAAAGCTAATGCTTGGTATTAAAGATAATGGATTGAATTTTCGTTCTGAAGTAGCCTAAGCGGATAGCCTGTTTAGAATTTCGAACAAATATATTTTTTATATCCTGAGCAAAGTATATTAAGTTTGTAAAATGCAGCAGGAAATGTCGAAGACGCTATAAAGCATAAAAAATTATCAGTTTAACAAGCTGAGTTGATTTAGTCATATCCGTCCGTCTGTATATACACGAACCAGTTCCATAGTTTTGGAGTTATTATTCTGAAGTTTTGCACACAATATTTGATAGCCAAGAAGCTCATTTGTCGAAATCGCCGATTTGGTACTACTATAGGACTGATCGATCAAAACCAAACCCTTGCATGGAACACTTTTTTTTATATTGGACAAGTTATCT